TATATTGTAAATAGAATGAAGGGGACAAGTAGTAAATTGGAATAATACAAAGAGAAATAAGGGGAAATTGTGAATAACAAAGAAAGACGATCATGAAATAGCTGCAAAAAGAGTATTCATATATATGTTGTATGCCTTGTATTGTAGTTTTATGTTATAATAAATAATAAAAATAAAAATAATAGTACGTCAAACATGTGTTAGAAATATATTCACTCTGAAGGCCCCTTCTCTGTCTTTGGTGGACATGGAAGAAAGCTAACAGTTATTGAGATCAAATGTGTATTTTAATACAGAGAACTCTTAAAATAATTGTACACTTGAAACTATATATGATATAGATGACATCAGGCCCACATCATCTTCTATGGTGTCCTATCATTATACTTCGGGGGGAGAGGGGATGCTGTGCTTGGGATTTTTCCGCTAGTACAGTTCACTTGGGAATTAGGGAGGAAGTCTGTTCATATTGTCAGAATTTAATTCAAATTAATGTGGTCATCCAAAACTATTAGAAATTGACTAAATGTCAAATTATTATATGAAATGACTTCTTCCCAGAATTTAACACCAAATATCAAATTAACAGAGTTGGAAGGTATTATTGGAATATAATTTCTCTGTAGATAATATAAATCTTTTTGGTTTCTGTGACTTGAGAAATATTATTATCTTTCTAAACCAAAATTACCTTAAAACCTCCATGTCATTAGCCTTGATGTCTCAGACACAAAACAAGATAAGTGATAAATCAAATTAATATGATTCATTTATTAATTATTGCATTTTGATATAATTGGCTACCAAACTTTTGAAATGGGAAGGGGATATTTGACAATGGTCATTGTTCTCATTCACATTTTTCACAATGATAACTTCTTTTATTTAATTTATAAATTATGTAGAAGAATAAAAATGGTTACAATAAATATCAGATTGTTGAATCAGATCTTGAATGCTTAAACTGCAACTTTTTTTTTCAAGAATTGAAAACAGAATTGGAAACTGGTTCTCTTTATTCTTTTTCTTGAACTGTAATAATCAAGCATGACAATCTGTGAAGGAGATAGACAGTTCTTACATATGATAGACAGACAGACAGACAGACAGACAGACAGATAAACAAACAAACAAACAAACAAACATATGACTGTCCTGAGCCCACCATTTCTTGATATATCACCAAGTGCAGAATTTAAAGAAGGCCTGAATAACATATTCTTCCTTCATCTTTTTTTAAACAGAATTGTAAAATTGGTGGGGTTTGCTTATTATTATTTTTTCTCAGTTCTTTTTTTTTATTATTATTTAAAAAGTTTTACAAATACATTTTCTCCCCAGTTCCCCCCCCCAAAAAAAACCCCATACCCTCCCTAACCCTCCTCTTTTCTCCCCAGGACTTCCACAAAATAAAATCCTAATCGAAAAATACATTTTATAAAACTTAAACCCCTCCACCCCCTATATACTATTTATACCTTCATAAAACTCAATTAATCTCCTACATAATACATTCATTCAACTAAAAGCTATCTGATATTTCCTAGTTTGGTATTTATTCTGCACATAATCTATCCACTTTTTCCACTCCCATACATAAATCTCTTGAGTTCGATCTTTTAAATATGCTGAAATCTTCACCATCTCTGGCCATCTTCAAAGTCCATTCTTCGATAGTGGGCATAGCTTCATTTTTCCAATATTGACCTATCAGTAATCTCGCTGCTGTCACCATATACAATATCAGCTTTGTTTCGCCCAATGTAAAACCCTTAACTATACCCAATAAAAACAATTGTGGAGAAAACTGAAGTTTTTTCTTCAAGACATTTTGCATAACCCACCAAATTTTTATCCAAAAAGCCTTCACTTTCTTACAAGTCCACCACATATGGTAATATGTGGCATCTAAACAATCACATCTCCAACATTTCGGTTGAACATTGGGATACATACACAATAATTTCTTAGGATCTAAATGCCACCTATAAAACATTTTATAAAAATTTTCCCTCAAATTCTGCGACTGTGTAAATTTAACATTCTGGACCCATATTTTTTCCCATGTTTCCAACATCACTGGTTCTGCAAAATTTTGTGCCCACTTTATCATACAATCTTTAGCCAATTCATTTTCCGAGTCCCTTTCTAGCAAAACATTATAAACCCTCTTAATATGCATTGGACCTTTCTCTTTTATATGTCTAACCAATTCTTCTTCATGCATCATTATACCAGTTTTTTGATCTTCTTTCCATCTCAGTTGAAGTTGATTATACTGTAGCCAAGTTAAATTAATCCCTTCTTCCAACAGCATTTCTAATGTCTTCAATTGCCATCTGCCCCCATCCATAAAAAGAACTTCTTTGTATAACCCCCCCCCCCGAGTGACATTATATTTGTATTCTACATGACATGACCAAGATCCAGCCATAACGGTATTTTATAATCCCATTTGAATCAGTGCTTCTTCCAAACTCTCATCAAAGAGTTCCTAAGTATGTGGCTTTTGAATACTTTATCCACTTTATTCTCATAAAATAAATATGCATGCCAACCAAATTCAAGATCATGACTTTCTATATTCAATATTCCAGTCTTTATCCTTCCAAACCAGTCACTTGCTTGCGTCAAAGCTGCTGCTTCATAGTACAATTGTAGATTTGGAAGTTTAAGGCCTCCCCTTTCTGAAACATCTTGCATAATTTTCAGTTTAACTCTCGGCTTTTTCTCATTCCAAACAAACTTATTCAATCCATTTTGCCATTCTTTCAATTGCATATCACTTTTAAGCACCGGAATCATTTGAAACAAAAAAAGAAATCTAGGCAAAATGTTCATCTTAACTGCTGCTATTCTTCCAAGCAACGACAGCTGCAGTTTTTTCCAAGTCCCCATATCCTTTTGTACCTCTCGCCACAACACCTCATAATTATTTTGAAATAATTTTATATTTGAATCTGCAACTTGAACTCCTAAATATTTAACTTTTGATACTATTTCAAAGCCTGCCTTGCTTTCAAGTTCCTGCTTCCGATCTTGTGTCATATTTTTAACAATCATTTTAGTCTTCTTCTGGTTCAGTCTAAATCCTGATATCATACCATATTCTTTTATAATGTCTTTCATCTGGATTATTGATTCCATCGGCTGTGTTAGGGTAACAACCAGATCATCTGCAAATGCCCTGGTCCTGTAATCCTCACGCCTAATAGCTATGCCATATAGTGAATTTGAGTCCTGTATTGTATTCAACAAGACTTCTAATGTTAGAATAAATAACAATGGGGATAGCGGACAACCTTGTCTTGTTCCTTTTTCAATACTAAAATTTGTAGTCAAACTTCCATTAATAATAATTTGTGCCGTTTGCTGTTGATAAATTGCTGAAACCGCCTGTATAAACTGATACCCAAAGTCCATTTTTCTCAGGCCTTTAATAGAAAGTTCCAATCCACTCTATCAAAGGCCTTCTCCGCATCCAAAAACACCAGCACTGCAGATATCTGTTTATTCTTCTCAAGATAGTCCAATAAGTTTATTATTTGCCTTACATTATCCTTCATATATCTGCCTTCTATAAATCCTGCTTGGTCATGATGAATCACCTCTTGAATAACTGGCATTAACCTGTTGGCTAATACTTTTGCAAAAATTTTATAATCATTATTCAGAAGAGATATTGGTCTATAATTCTCAGGTTTTTTAAGACCTGCTTGCTCTTTCGGTATCAGTGAAATATAAGCTGCTTTCCATGAAGGAGGTATTTTACCCCCTTGTTGTATACTACAAAATAAGTCTTTAAGATGTTCAATCATTTCTGCTTGTAAAGTTTTATAGTACACCACAGTTAAACCATCCGTTCCTGGTGCTTTGGCTGTTTTCAATTGTTTAATTGCGGCAATAATCTCTTCAGCTATAATTGGTTGACTCATTCTTTCCTTTTGATCACTAGAAATTTTTATAACTCTTTTTTCTTCTAAATATTTATCTATAAGTCCAGTCTTTATATCATCTTTAGCATACAATTTAGTATAATAATCTAAAAAGGCTTCTTTGATTAATTTTTGTTGAAAAATTTCCTTCCCTCCAATGTCAATACTACCAATAACCCGTGTGCTCTGACGCTTCCTCAATGTGTAAGCCAGCCATCTGCCCGGTTTATTAGCGTTGCAAAATGTATTATGTTTTGCAAATTGTAAGTTAATTGCTGTTTGCTCCGCCAGAAACATATGAAATTGATCTTTCAAAAGTTTTATGGCTCCTCGTACTCTTTCATCTGTTGGGTTCTTTATAAGTAACTGTTCTTTCTTCTTTATCTCTGCTTCCATTTCCAATCTTTTCTTTTGTCGATTTAATCTATGTTTAGAATTCATATGAATGAGTACCCCCCTCATATATGCCTTACTCGCATCCCACACAATTTCAATAGGGGTACCCTTATTCAAATTCATTTCAAAAAATTCTTTCATTTGCTTTTTAAGTTCATTTACATTTTTTCGTATCTAAACAAATTCTCATTTAGAATAGAATAGAATAGAATAGAATAGAATAGAATAGAATAGAATATTTTTATTGGCCAAGTGTGATTGGACACACAAGGAATTTGTCTTGATGCATAAGCTCTCAGTGTACATAAAAGAAAAGGTACATTCACCAAGAATCATAAGGTATAACACTTAATAATAGTCATAGGGTACAAATAAGCAATCAGGAAATAATATCAATATAAATCGTAAGGATACAAGCAACAAAATTACAGTCATATAGTCATAAGTGGAAGGAGATGGGTGGTGAGAATGATGAGAAGATTAATAGTAGTGCAGATGAACAATTGAACAATTAGCACAGATTAAAGGCTTTATAGTGGAGGAGGGGGGCACAAGAAGCAATCCTTTTCTATGGTACTATTCATTTTAAAAGGCTTTAGCATGCTTTATTTTTTTAATTTAATTATTTTTTAAAAAGATTAACTATTTCTTTCTTCTTAAAAATTGTTTTTTGTTCAGCTCAGATCGCAACAAAATAATGTAGCATTTGGGGAAAAAGAGACAACCCAGTAATCCAGCACTGGAAGATAAAATACAGAAGATCTCCACAGCTACTATATATTTTCCTTGGGCACTCAAGTAAGTGGGGACAAAAGTGAACCAAACACTACAAAATACCAACATGCTGAATGTTATAAGTTTGGTTTCATTAAAACTATTTGGCAACTTGCGGGCAAAGAAAGCCACAGTGAAACTGACTATTGCCAGGAAACCCATATAGCTCAGGACACAATAAAACATGATTGGTGATGACTCATTACACTTCAAAACAATTACTTCAGGTACTGAATGCATGTCCATATCTGGGAAAGGAGGAGTCGTTGCCATCCACACCAGAGAGATACTTACTTGAAGAAAAGAACAAGAAAGAACAATAGAGCAAGACAGTCTGCTCCCCACACATTTTTTGAGCCTGGATCCTGGTCGGGTTGCCATGAAAATGAGAACCACAGTGATGGTTTTTGCTAACACACAAGAAACAGCAAATGTAAAGACGATGCCAAAAGCTATTTGCTGGAGAAAGCATGTTGCCTTCTTTGGTTGGCCAATGAAGAGCAATGCACAAAGGAAGCACAGCACAAATGAAATAAGTAGCATGTAGGTAAGGCCACGGTTGTTGGCTTTCACTATGGGAGTATTGTGGTACTTCAGAAATATTCCTAATATCATAACTGTTGCCAATGAAAATAAAAGAACACTGGTGCTTAAAGTGATACCCAAAGGTTCTTCATAAGACAAGAAGCTTATAATCTTGGGAATACAAGTGTTCTGATATTTATTAGCATAGTAATCATCAGGGCATTTGACACAGTCAGCCATGTCTGCAAAAAAAAGTTTTTCAAGTAAAATTATATTATATTCATTGCAGAAAGTTGAAGGAGGCATTGATATAAATCTGCTTTAATATTTGAAATCTTTGCATATCCATCTCAAAGACGGGTAGAGTAAATCACCATGCCAGCATTTTTTGAAGAATTGTTGTGGAATAAAGGAAATATATTAAAATTAAGGTTCATGGGAACAGACAACAAAATATTAAGTGACATTAGAACTGAACAGAAAAATGGATCTATTTTCTTGCCTTCTATCCTTATTTTTATTTTCTTGGCACAGTGCAAATATATCATAAAGCACAAATCTAATACAGAAGCGGTTAACAGAGAAAAGCATGATTAGATACATGAACATGGCAGGGGTTGATTAACCGATCTGTGTATTTTCCATGAATGTTTCATTTGAAAATAAACTGTATAATTGTATATACTAATGCTCACCTTTGTAGTGGGATATTGATCCTTTGGGGCACGTAATGCAATCATAGCAACAGAAAGATTCCCCTTCTTTCATTTTTTTCCTAGATCCAGGTTTGCAAGGGGCATTACAAAGAGAAACAGGCAATGTCTGTGCATCAGTGAAGAAAGAAGAAGTTAATTGGAGGGGATCTAATTTCAAATTGATTCGTAAAACAATATGCACAAAGTTCATCATGATCTGGTTGAGAGTAGGTGACCAAATCATGCAGGAACCAGGATGTGTGGCTACTCTGCTGTAATCCTGCCATTTGGAATGTGAAAATCTTTTGATTTCATTGATCATTAATGGGGGAAAAACATGCTCTACTTCATATTTCCCACTAGATCAGGGAGTCCCCAAATTTGGCAACTTTAAGACTTGAGGACTTCAACTCCCAGAATTCTCCAGTCAGCATAGAGAATTCTGGGAGTTGAAGTCCACAAGTCTTAAAGTTGCCAAATTTGGGGACTCTGCACTAGATATTTGCCAAGTGTGACACAAAATAGTTTGGGAGGAAAAAAAGAATCAGAAATGCATTAACTGAATCGGTGACAAATTTAGATGGAGCTGTCATCTCTTGTCCTTCAAATGTTGCAGTCTTCAAAAAAACTGGTAAAGACCTGGCTTTTCCTCCAAACCTTGTGATGATCTGAAGCTGAAGCCCAAGGAAACTGTGTTGGGGAACTGGGTATGTTCCATTTTCTAATTTTATATGCTTTTCATTGTTTTTATTCCTTGTGAGCAACCAAAGGTTATATTATAGAAAATGGGTTACTATACACATATTCAGTTAATTCCTACCTGGTTAAACCAGCTGTGCCATACTATTGCATCTTCGTTAATGGTGAATGCTTTCTCTGGAGGAGATTGAGGATCCATTTTTCCAACTTTCACTAGAGTGAATGATTGATTGGGAAATGTAATCCAATTGATGATGTCAAGTTCTTGAACTATACCCCTATTCTGATCAAAGAAAATCCTTTCACCAGCACTGTTGTTAAATGATACAGATTTCATAAAATGGAATAACTAGATCAGAAAATAAAACATTACATGTTTGTATGTATTACAGTTATTATAAGTCATTATTTGTAGTCTTTGACTTATGATCAGAATTGAGACTAGAAGTTTCATTGCAACTCAACAACTGAAGTTGTTAGATGATTTGCATCTGATTTTACAACTTTTTTTTGTTGTGATTATGCAAAGCACCATACTTGTTAAGTAAGTCACCTGCTCAATAACCAAATTCATCTTCTCCCACTTTGCTTTGTTGGAACAAACATCCTTCTAGGTTCTGCTCCAAGTGGGGAAACAGACACTGGAAACATGGAGACTGCTTGGAAAGATGGTTTAATGGTGGACAGGATCACATGGCTTGAGTTCCTGAACAGAAAAGGGGCAGATACAGCGAGTTTTTCAGGTTTTATGCTCTCTCTGGCTTTGAACTTCCTGGGGCCCAGAAAGAGTATCCTGATTGGTTGTCAGACTCCCAGGGGGTGGGGGCCTTGCTGGCTGATGGTCACATGTGCTTCCCAGGTCACATGTGGTGAGTTTCTGCTGCTATTGTGTAGAGGGCTAATCCTATCTTTGGCAATTCCTACTATGGCTCTGCCTGAAGGAGGTAGATCTTTGTTATGTAGAGTAGACTGGCCCAGGCCTTAATGGCCCATTGACAAAGGGTGGGGGGCAGGAAGGTGGGAGCCGCCCCGCCTGTAAAATATGCTTCTCATATTTCTCATCCAGGGAAATATAATATTCTGCCTTTTTCATATTTCCTAAAATATTTCACTCTTCCAGGAAAGGGGTGGGTGCTAACTTCCTACAGCTTATTGGAACCCACCAGAAAAAGTCACCAATGATAATCATATAATTGTCTGTGGTACCTATGGGATTTACTTAAACTGCCCACTCCAAAAGGCTCTGGGCTGTTTACAACATAGCCAGTATTTAACTAAAACAATTGAAAATATAAAAAGAAAATATAATGGCTCAAAAAAAAGAGTAACAATAACAGTAAAAAATTGGCATACACACTAACACCAGACCTAGTTGAAAGCCAGGTTTCAAGGACATTTTGAGACTTACATACAGGGTCATTGTAGGTACCTCCTAAATCTTGTGTCTTAAATCTTTCTCAATAATCTAGAAAATAGTCTGCAATGCCCTAATTCTAACAACTATTGTGGTACAAAATCCAAATATTTTCAATGGAGTTTTTATGTAAAATTTTCCACAGCTTTCTTTATAAATCCTTTCATAATAGATGAGAAGTAGAAAATGTTTTTTTAATAAAAGATTTTAGAATTTTGAGTTCACATTACTGAGGCCCTGATGTTAATGTACAAAAGTAAAGTATCAACATATGAAATAACAAACAAACATGCAGACAAAAACATTTGTATAATAACAAGGAGCTTCAAGATTTGTTTTCCTCAAAAATGAGAAATACTTTCGAAAGGATATCAGATACTGTACAAACCGCATATTGTGTCAACCTTGAGTGATATGAATCAGGGTCCAACATAATGTTTGAAGGTTTTATTGTTTGCAAATTGAATTTGCCTTCTAAAAATTTCTATTGATGCCATTTATTCTTGACTGTTCAATATTTGCTTAATTTCATTTTTATTTCTATGATTTTGTTATTACTCTATACTTATACTTTTGTTATATCTTTGACAAGTTGATTCAAAACTTCTATTCATGGTATTCTCATCTTTTATCATTTATTTGTGTTTTGGATAATATAATGATAATAATATCCTCATATATTAATATTATCTTTCACCATTTACAATGCATACACTTTCAATGGCTTTCAGAAGATTATTGACATCAATCCGCTTGACTTGATAATATTTTGCAAATGATAAATTCATTCTTTCAATACCTGCATGGGCTAGACTACAAAGTAAAATATTGAAATCATTACCTGCCAGAGCCTATCAATATTTATTTATTTATTTATTTATTTATTTATTTATTAAATTTATATACCGCCCTATTCCCAAGGGACTCAGGGCGGTGAACAGCGAACGATAAAAAATACATGTAATACAAATGTTAATTAAACAAAAACCAATTAAAATATACTAAATACTCTGGTCCTAGATAATTCAAGACATCCCAGTTTAAAATAAAATTGAAAGCAATATAAAGGGAAAGTTAGGCCAGGCCGGCCTGCTGAAACAGGAATGTTTTGAGGGCACGGCGGAAAGTGCGCAGATCCGGAATCTTCTGTATCTCTGGGGGGAGCTCGTTCCAGATGGTGGGTGCCCCCACAGAAAAGGTTCTCCCCCTGGGGGCCACCAGTCAACACTGTTTGGCTGACGGCACCCTGAGAAGCCCCTCTCTATGGGAGCGTACTGGGCGGTGAGATGCTATTGGTGGCAGAAGGTGGTCCCCGGTCCTAAGCCATGGAGTGCTCTAAAGGTGGTAACTAAGACCTTGAAGCGCACCCGGAAGACCACAGGGAGCCAGTGCAGCTCACGCAGGAGGGGAGCCACATGGGAGCGCCATGCTGCTCCCATAACTACCCGCGTGGCCACATTCTGGACCAGCTGGAGCCTCCGGGTGCTCCTCAAGGGGAGCCCCATGTAGAGAGCATTACAGTAGTCCAGGCGTGAAGTGATGAGGGCATGAGTGACCGTATTTAACGAGTCCCGATCCAGAAAGGGACGCAACTGGCGAATCAGGCGAACCTGCTAAAAAGACCTCCCGGCCACAGCCGTCAAGTGTTCTTTTAAAGACAGCCGTGAGTCCAAGAGGACGCCTAAGTTGCGAACCCTCTCCGTGGGGGGCAATGACTCATCCCCAATAGTCAGTGATGGCACCAACTGACTATATCGGGACGTCGGAAACCACAGCATTGGATGGGTTGAGCCTGAGTCTGTTCCTCCCCATCCAGATCCGTACAGCCTCCAGGCACTGGGACATCACTTTAAGGGCATCATTGGGGTGGTCCGGGGTGGAGATGTATAGCTGAGTATCATCAGCATACTGATGATACTTCACCCCAAAACCATGGATGATCTCACCCAGCGGCTTCACATAAATGTTGAACAGAAGGGGTGAGAGAACCGACCCCTGTGGCACCCCACATACAAGGGGCCTCAGGGTCGACCTCTGCCCCCCTGTCAACACAGACTGTGACCGATCAGAGAGAAAGGAGGAGAACCACCGCAACACGGTGCCCCCCACCCCTAACCCTTCCAACCGGTGCAGCATGATACCATGGTCGATGGTATCAAAAGCTGCTGAGAGGTCTAATAGGACCAGGACAGAGGAGCAACCCCTGTCCCGGGCCCTCCAGAGATCAACTACCAATGCGACCAATGCCATTTCCGTGCTGTATCCAGGCCTGAAGCCCGACTGGAACGGATCTAGATAAGCCGATTCATCCAAGTACTGAGGAAGCTGTCGCGCTACCACACTCTCAACAACCTTCGCAACGAAGCGAAGGTTGGAGACTGGACGGTAATTAGCCAACACTGCTGGGTCCAGGGAAGGCTTCTTGAGGAGAGGCTTCACCACCACCTCTTTCAAGGCAGCGGGGAAGGCAGCACCCTCTCTCAAGGAAGCACTTATAATCCCCTGGAGCCAGCCTCGTGTAACCTCCCGAGAGGCCAGCACCAGCCAGGAGGGACACGGGTCCAATAAACATGTGGCCGCGCTCAGTCTGCCCAGTATCTTGTCCACGTTTTCTGGAGTCACAGAATCAAACTCTTCCCAGATAATATTCTCAAGACTTGCCTCCATCCTCCCTCCCGAATCTACCCAGTCAGAGTCCAAATTTTCCCGAATCTGAGTGATTTTGTCATACAGATATTGTACAAAGTCCTCGGTTCTACCCTCCAAGGGGTCCTCCCGCGCTTCCTGGTGGAGCAGGGAGCGGATCACCCTAAACAGGGCGGCCGGGCGATTATCTGATGACGCAATAAGAGCGGAAAAATAGTTACACTTTGCCGCTTTTATTGCCACCAGGTAGGTCTTAATATGAGACCTTACCAGTGTTCGGTCAGATTCAGAACGGCTGGCCCTCCAACTGCTCTCCAGGCGTCTTTTCCGGCGTTTCATCTCCCTCAGCTCCTCGGTGAACCAGGGAGCCAGGTGAGATCGATGCCGGGTTAGAGGCCGCAAAGGCACGATCCGGTCCAAAGCTCCAGCGGCCGCCCAATCCCAGGCAGCCACTAGATCTTCAGTCGAGCCGTGTGCCAGAGCCTCAGGAAATGGCCCAAGCTCCGTCTGGAACCTATCCGGGTCCATCAGGCGCCTGGGGCGGAACCACCTCATCGGTTCCGCCTCACTGCGGCGGGGTGTGGTGGTTCTAAGGTCAAAGCGAAGGAGGGAGTGATCTGACCATAACAAGGGCTCGATCGCTATATCCCCTATCTCGAGACCACTCAGCCACTGACCAGAGACAAAAACCAGGTCCAGCGTGTTTCCCCCCGTGTGAGTAGGGCCATAAACTAATTGGGTCAGGTCCATGGCCATCATGGAAGCCATGAATTCCTGAGCCACCTCAGATGCCTCACCGACGGATGGCAGGTTGAAGTCCCCCATGACCATAAGCCTAGGGGTATCAATCGCCACCGCGGCTATAATGTTGAGTAGCTCAGGCAAGGCCGCTGCCACGTGGCAGGGAGCCAGGTACGTAACCAGCAGGCCCATCTGCACCCCATGACCCCACTTCACAAGGAGGGACTCACATCCGGCTGTCTGAGGAACAGTGGCCTCCCTTTGACCAAGACCCTCTTTAATGATAACTGCCACCCCCCGCCCCTTCCCTGTGACCTTGGCTGATGAAATGCCCAGAAACCGGGTGGGCACATCTCTACGAGAGGGACTCCCCCCTCCTGGCCCAACCAGGTCTCCGTAATACCCACCAGGTCCACTCCCCGCTCCTGAACAAGATCACAAATGAGGGGGGCTTTATTTACCACGGACGTGGCATTGCATAACATCAGCCGAAGGCCCAGGGCCTGAGGGTCTGTGCCACCTGGGGAACGAGAAGAGCATTGGGGGCCGGAGCATGCCACCGCTTGAAGACAGCGAGCGCGCACTCCCGCAACTTGATATGAAGCTTCTTTCCTTTTTTCTTCATAGCAGAAGGAAATGTGGAGGAATACATGGCTTGCAGAGCATGAACCATAGCATACACAGCATTGTAGATGCTATAGCTGTGGCCTGTCACTCTTTTTGGAAAAACATGTTCAGGAAGACTCTTTAAATTCTCCTGTCCACTGCAAATATTCTCCTTCTTGTCTCCCAGATCAGAATATTGAAATGTACATCCAAATGCTTGAGTCCAGAAATCCTTGATAAAACCATCTTCTTTTACAACAGAAGGCTTTAGATCCTGAATATGTTGCTGGAAACCTTTCAGTTCTTTGGCATGAACTGCAAATGATATCGCACCATGGAAGTCCTGCAAATCCCAGGTTTTTTGACTGGCAAAATATTTTAACTCCATCCCAATAGTCAGGATCCATACTTTCCCTTTTGAATTTCCAAATATTTCTTTAAAATCTGTATTTAGGAAATACCTCAAATAGATCATAGAACGTGTATCTCCATTAAAAATCAAGACACGGGCTTCATTATTCATTATTTTCTCATAAAATTCTATCACACAGTCAAAATAAAATCCTGTATTGGCATTATAACAGGAACTGCTGAATACCTCTATGAAGGCAAAGCAAATGCCTTTTTTGGAAAACTCAGGAACCAGGGTCTGTATGAACCAATCTAAATTGGTCACCAAGAATCCAATCCACCTCCAATTGAAATATAGAAGTAAGTGCAGAATCCCACTATACTGATAAATTATATTTGTAACCGTTTTGTAAAAAGAAGGGATATTGGTATCCCCTGCATCATCTCTAGCAGAACCATACATAATCTGTCAAAAAAAGAGAAGAACTATGTAATACAATGACTTTTAGGGAAACTGAAATTTGATATCGTTGGAAGAAGAAGCAACAGAAGTTACAGAAGCAGCAGCAGAAACAGGAGGAAGAGGAGGAAGAGGAGGAGGAAGAAATCAAACAGATATGCATCTGCCACATAATAAACTTAACAATTAGTGATAAGAATGACAAAAAAAAAAGTCTGGATAGTAAATATTGCAATACCTGGAGATAGCAGAACAGAAATTAAAGAACTGGAAAAAAATAATAAAATACAAAGTCCTTTAAATTGAAGCAGAACATTGTTTCTACTTCTATTTACAGGACTGTTCTATGTTGTTTTGGAAAAATTTGATGGGTGAATAAAAATGCCAAATTCAGTTTAAAACTTTGGTTTTGCCATCAGTCGTAATAAATTAAAAAACACATAAACTCAAGCATAGAAAAACAACCACTTTAGGTGAGTGGGGAGGAGGGGGAACTTACCTGTGGAATTTTATAAAGGCTCATGAGAATTGGAAACCGGTATATGATATCTGAGATCAATTCCTCAATAACTGCAAAAAGATTGTCTTGAATTATGCACTTATAATTGGGCAAAAATTTGCTATTTGGAGAAATCAATTGTATTGCTGCATGGTAAGTCCACTTTGCATTCAGGTGACTATCATAAATATTGAAACCCAGGGTAACATTGGGTAACATTTGGTCATTTCCATTGATCTGTTTCATAGCAAATATCAAAGCCAAGATGTGTTGGTAGTTCTCAGTCACCACACTGCAAAAGAAATGTTCAGCCTTGGATCATAGGTCACCCATGAAACTTTTAAAGGAAGCAATATGTGTTTATTTCTTAAGATTGCATTTACATTTGTATTGCAAAGGGTTTTTAAGTTTCCTGAAATACTTCCCTCATCCCATTCATGGTTTTTCATTCTAAAATACTCAAAAATACCTATTATAGTAATATCTGAATGCAAATATGGTAGTTTGGAAAAGAGGGGAAGGCATCTGGCATTCCAGGCTAAGTAGATTATGAAAAAGTGAAAGCATTAGAGCAAATATAGTTTGAAATAACTTTATAACAAAATGATAGTGTAAGTGAGGAATATACAAGATGAAAATTGATACAGCAAAAATCATGTTTACGTTATTAAGAAGATTTCAAATATATTTTTTTAGGCATACAATAAGGCAGAAAGGAGTTAAAAACAGGAGGGAATGAAAATATATTACAAGTAATAAAAGAACACTGTATAATACTTTGAGGCAGAGGTGAGCAACCTGGTATTTTCCTATTGTTAACGGAGGAAGAATTCAACCAGGAAGAATTTGCTCTACTGTAATTTCTTTTGCCTTTATGATGTGCTCCCCCAAGGCATTTTGCTATATCAAGTCACAGCAATTGCCCCAATAAGTGAAGCACCTTGTCAAAGAGAATCACAGGTGAGGTATTCACTTCCATTTTGTAGTGTAAAAAAAATCCTTATACAAACATTTTTCCCAAAGGGGGCCCAGAAGGACATTGATGAAAGTTGTAAGGTTTCATATAAAAGGAGGATTGATAAATAATGCCTCCGTAGATGAAATCTCCTGGCTCATAATACTTGGGAACAGTCATAGGAATATGCTGTGTCCCACATTTTTTATGTCCAAGCTTGCATCCTACATCAGGTAGCAGTAGCAATAGCATTAATAGCATCATTCTAATGGACAATGTTTTTCTGCACATTATATTGCAGTTATTGTACTACTATTAGAATATTGACAATGACATTAGCCATATTTGCTTTCTTTACTGATAGATTGGCAGACAAATGGGAAAAATATGAATGAATGCATAAATAAATAAGGAAAAAGTGAAATTGTGCCTTGCCAACTCAATCTCCTGATACTGGGGTTTTGGAGGTTTATAGATGCTATTTTAAATTTTGTTATTGTTCATAGCAGTCCCCAAAGGGAATTTCAATGCTACAGAATTAATTGTAGACCTTCTGCTAATTATAAGGGTCAAATATTTTCTTCTACCTACTCAGAAATCAGATGCCGAAATGGAAGGCATGAACAAATTGGCATAAACCTTTATTTATTTTTTTATTTAAATAGAAAAGTTATTTGCAAATTTCTACATAAAAGTCTTTTCAATAACCTGTTGAGCAATCTATTTTTTAGATAACGTGTTTCCCTGAAAATAGGTCATGTCCCAAAAATAAGGCCAAGCCTGATTTTTGGGGTGGGCATAAATATATGCCCTCCCCCGAAAATAAGGGGAATAAGTGAGGAAGGGCAGCAGTCAGGCTGCTGTTACGGTACCATTGGGGTGCATTTATTTTATTTTATTTATTTATTTTATTCATATTTATATGCCGCCCTTCCCCCAAAGGGCTCAGGGCAGCTCACAACAATAAAACAACAAAACAATAAATTAATGCTAAAATAATCCAATTAAAATCCCCAACAGTTAAAACTAAAAACTCCCAGCAGATCTCAGGAGATTTGCTGAAAAAGCCATGTCTTCAGGCCACTGTGGAAAAAGCGGATGTTGGGGGGCGTCCGGAGGTCAGTGGGTAATTCATTCTAGAGGGTTGGTGCGGCCACAGAGAACGATATCATCCTGGGCACCACCAGCCGTCATTGTCTGGCCGATGGCACCCGGAGGAGGGCAGCCCTATGTGAATGCACTGGGTGGTGGGAGGCCGGTAGGAGGTGATCTTGCAAATACCCCGGGCCCATGCCATGTAGGGCTTTATAGGTAAGTACCAATACCTTGAAGCGGATCTGAAGGACCACTGGCAGCCAGTACAGCTCGCGCAGGAGAGGTGTAACATGGGAGTAACAGGAAGCTCCCGTAACCACCCGCGCAACCACATTCTGGACCAGTTGGAGCCTCTGGGTGCACCACAAGGGCAGCCCCATGTAGAGGGCATTACAGTAGTCCAGGCGGGAGATGATGAGAGCATGAGTGACTGTACAGAGGGCATCCCATCAAGGAAAGGTCACAACTGGCGCACTAGGCGAACCTGTGCAAAAGCCCCCCTGGTCACAGCTGTCAGATGGTCAACTAAGGATATCCGCGAATCCAGGAGGACGCCAAGATTGCGAACCCTTTCCAAGGGAGTAAACAGCTCCCCTCCCATCAAAAGCAATGGGGATGCTAGATCAAGGGATGCCGGCATCTACAGCCACTCCATCTTGGAGGGGTTGAGTCTGAGCCTGTTCCTGCCCATCCAGACCGGCACCGCCTCCAGGCACTTAGACATCATGGAAAGAGCATCCCTTGGTTGGTCCAGGGTGGAGATGTAAAGTTGGATATCATCAGCATACTGATGATACCTCACCCCAAAACTACAAATGATCTCACCCAGTGGCTTCATATAGATGTTGAAGAGCAAGGGGGAGAGAACTGACTCCTGAGGTACCTCTGTCCCCCTGCCCAGACAAACTGCGTATAACCCGAGAGATAGGAGGAGAACCACTGTAAAACAGTGCCCCCCACCCCCAATCCTTGGAGTCGTCACAGTAGGATACCATGGTCAATGGTATCAAAAGCCACGGAGAGGTCAAGAAGGACCAGGATAGAGGAATAATCCCTATTCCAGGCCCGCCAGAGATCATTCACCAGAGCAACCAATGCTGTTTCTGTGCTGTGTCCGCACCTGAAGCCCGATTGGTACAGGTCAAGGTAATCCATTTCCTCCAGGAATTGCGGAAGTTGGTGTTCCACAATGGACTCAACAACCTTCGCTATAAAGCAAAGGTTGGAGACGGGACAAAAGTTGTTTAGGGAGGCCAGATCCAGAGTAGACTTCTTGAGAAGGGGTTGAACCACCGCCTCCTTAAGAGTGGCGGGGAAGACCCCATCCCTTAACAAAGCGTTAACAATCACCTGGACCCAGTCTCCAGTCACCTCTCTGGTTGCCGTAACAAGCCAGGAGGGACATGGGTCCAACAAACACATTGAGGCCCCCAGTCTTCCAACAATCCTGTCCACTTCCTCTGTAGATACAGGATCAAAGTCAACCCAGATGTTACCTTCAAGACATGCTCCCATCTCCTCGCCAGACCCTGCCCAGTCAGAGTCCAAACGTGACCAGATCTGAGCGATTTTGTCTTGCATGGAGCTGTCTTACCTGCCTTGCAGCTCTGTCACATGTCTCGCTGTTGTCTGCAGGCAAACACATTGTAGGGTAAAACAAACCTCGCAAGTTCAATCAAACTTCTTGAACTCATGGGAAGTTTGATTTTACTCTACAATGTGTTTGCCTGCAGACAAGAGCGAGACATGTGACAGAGCTGCAAGGCAGGTAAGACGCGTGTCTTGTGTCTCCCTGGTCCCTGGCAAGGGGGGAGAAGAGACGGCAAGAGGAGTGAGCCACGTCTCGCTCCACATTTCTTGCTTCTCCCCCACCCCACATGCCACCCCCTCGATAAAGAGCCAGGTGCTGTAGAAAAAGGAGACGGGTGGGTGCAAGCTTTGGCGTCTGGGGTTGCCGGAGGTTGCCTGGCAAAGAGATGGGAGCAGGATGGGAGTTTGCAGGAGAGGGATGGATGGATGGATCAATCGATCGATGGGAGGTGGGCAAGTGCCAAGAACACCAGGGAGATTCCATAGCAGTGCAACACAGCAGCAGCCATGAGGTGGCCATGCTCTCCACCTCCTGCAATCCCAAAATAATAAGACCCCCCTCCCAAATAATAAGGCCAGGCCCTTATTTTGGGGTTTAAAAATATAAGACAGGGTCTTGTTTTCAGGAAAACACGGTATTATCTTAAGCCAGCATGAGCACAATCCATAAACATAATAAATATTACATATAGATAAGTCCAATGTGAATGTATCCACTACCTTCTTATAAGTTCCCTTAATTCACATAGCCCTTTCTCATTGGCATATCAATATCATTGGCATATCAATCAATCAGAACTGGAAGGGACCTTGGAGATCTTCTAGTCCAACTCCCTGCTCAAGTAGAAGATCCTATATATTTCTTTAAAACTTCCAGTGATTAGATACCTACAAGTTCTGAGGCAGTGGAAAGCAAACTCTTCCACTGGTTAATTATTCTCACCGTTAGGTGGTTTCTCCTTAATTCCAGGTCGCTTCTTTCCTGGATTAGTTTCCATCCAGTCTTTCTTGTCTTGTCTTTTGGTGTTTTGGAAAATAGATTGACCCCCCTTCTTTGTGCTAGTCCCTCAAATATGGGAATATTCAGTGGTGGGATTCAGCCACTTTGGACTGGTTCAGGTTAACCGGATGCTAATTTTACATCTGGTTTGCCGAACTGGTAGTTGTAAAGACTGGCTGGTCCTGCCCACCCTGTCCCTCCCCTCCCAGGAGTTTTCATGCGGCGCATTTTGGATGCCAAGTAAGTACAGGGCCCATGCAGAGGCTCTGGGAGAGTGAAAAATGGGCCTCCCAGAAGTTCCGGAAGTCTGGAAACAGGCCCATTTCCAGAGGGCCTCCGGAGCACGGAGGAGGCCATTTTACCATTCCGGAGGCTTGAGGTAAGTCTCCAGAATCTGGGGAGGACTAAAAACAGGCCTCCCAGAAGTTCCTGAAGTCCAGAAACAGGTCTGTTTCCAGCCTCTGGAGGGCCTCTGGAGCCTGGGGGAGGCAGTTTTCACCCTTCTGGAGGTTCAAAGAAAGCCTCCAGAGCCTGGGGAGGGTGAAAAATGGGGCTCCTGCCATGGTGGAGGAGGCCAAGTAGGCACACCCACCCAGCAACTAGGCAGAGAGCTGGTTACTAAAATTTTTGAATTTTAGGAATATTGCTATCATGTCACCCCTAATCCTTCTTTTCTCTGGATTAGCCATATGTAAATACTAAGAATTTACAAAGCAAACTAATACTTCATGTGAGTTTGATTCTATATCTCTATTTATGCAACCAACAATTGTATTAGGTTTTTTGGCTGCTACCAAACTGATGGCTCATGTTTAAGTGATCGTCCGCTAGGACTTCAAGGTCTCTCTGATCTGACTTATGCCTTTGATTTTTCTTGCCTAGGTTTAAAACTTTGCTTTTCTCCACATTACATTTCATGTTGTTGGATTGTTCAAGTCTGTCAAGGTCTTTTTGGAACCTGAACTTGTCTTCTGGGGTGTTGGCTACTCCTGGCAATTTAGCATCATTTGCAAATTTGATATGTTCTCCTTCTGTTCCTCATCTAAGTCATTTATGAAGATATTGAAGAGTACTGGGCCTAAGATGGAACCTTGCAATACCCCACTGCTTACTTCCTTTGAAGATGGGAACCATGTGAGTTCTTTTCCAATCTTCTGGTAGTTCCCTGGTACTCCAGGATTTTTGAAAGATATGATACAACGGTTCAGAGATAACATCTGCAAACTTCTTCAGAACTCTGAGATGTAAACAATCAGGTCCCAGTGATTTATGTTCATCAAGATCAGACAGGTGTTCTCTTATCATTTTCTTGATCATTTTAATTTTTATTTGTAGTCTATTTTTTACAGTTAAGTTTTTGATAGGTTAAACTATAGTTTCTTTAAAATGGAATCTTTTATCATATTTTCATATGATTCATATTTTTTTAAAATAAATTATTTTAACTTTTTACAAAAAAAGTCCAAATGGATAGCCATGTTGGTTTAGCATAGTACTGACAGCAACTATGTTTTAATAATACCTTGGGAAAACAAATTTATGAAGCCAGAAACATTCATGGGCTGCAGTAATCAAATGCATTATGTGTTACCATGAAAATTTAAAACTCTGTTTTGAATAGTGTTTTATAGTAAAATCACTAAAATTACGAAATGTTTATGTTTGAGCTTAATAACTTCTGAAATTAATATGTTGCAACATAGCTTATTCTTAGTTCCATTAAGCAAATTCTATCTTTTCTCGGGTATATATTTTAGTTAATATCCGTTCAGCTATCATCTATCTTTGGTAGAATGGCCAGCAGATAACCTTTCCCAGCAGTTTGAGAAAGATGAGTTCTAATTTTTGTTCCATTTTGTAGAAAATCAGTCACAGACATTGTTTCACAGAATTTCTTCTTCACAGAAGAAAATGAAAGTGTATAAATGGCTAAAGTGAGGGCCACACAGGGTTGACTTTGCAGTACCAACAACATGGACTTTGCAATATTGTTATACTTACTAACATAGTTAGTCTGTATTTTAATTTAACTTATTTTTCTCTCTTTTATGTGATCAAGTTATTGCAGACTGGAATGCAGAAAACTCTTTATCCCAGGGGCGTCAGATGTACATTGTCATGGCGTCATCACGTGATGTATCACAACTTCCCCCCCCTTCGCTGAACCAGGCGTGGGCGTGGCCAGTGTGTGATGCATCCAGCTTGCAGGACACAGGTTTAACACCCTGCTTTATCCTATTGCTGAATGATTTGATTGATAGCTTCTAACATTCCTAATCTGAAAAGATAAAAGCTGTCTTGTTTCTCAGGTCAGGATAGGGTGACTGGAGTTTGTCTTTCTATAAGAGAAAGCTTGTTAGTGCTAGTTGGTAACTGGCTTGTCTCTCTGTGAACTCCAAATAAATTTATGACTTTTTTTCATCATTAACATCTTAAATTTCACACCCCTGCTTTTATCAAATTTCATTTAAATGAATATGTGTGGTATTATGGGATGCAAATATGTAACATGTTTAATTCCATGTAACTGATTTTCTATGCAAAGGAGAGGTTATTTTTGTCCTGTCCAGTCAACTTTCTCTTGCATTTTATTTGATGTGTTAATTATCAAAAGAACTGAAAGCTGAGAATCAAGATTCTCTCATGGAATGACTGGAATCCTTCTTAGTCAAAATGTTCTGAATAAATCATAAAAAAATGATATTTCTGTGTCAATCTGTTTCATTGGAAAATATGCAAGGCTCGGAAGCTACATTTGGCTAAAAAAGTGAGATCCAAAGATTTTTTTTCATAAACCATCAAGTTTATATTAGGAATGTAGATATTCTTCTCATCATTGGCACAACAATACTAAACCTTTATTGATATCTAGAATTTTTTTAGCATGCAGTAAGAAGAAGCTACATTAGGTTTTTGTGGATGGTAATCTGAAGTTATGGATGATAAAATGAAATTATTGAAATTATTAAAAGCAGCTAGATATTTCAGTTGTAAATAATAGTTGCTTGTGTATATTTTCTGCATTTCTGAATTGAGAAACTCAAGCTGTAATGAAATAGTAATCACTTTTCTCTCCATTTATCAGATCTCTCCCATTCAGTGAGAAAATGGAAACCAGAAACTACCATTCTCTTCCCTCTTCTTTTCTCAAGTGGGAAAAAGAGGTAGCTCTTTTCACTTCACTTCTCCCTTTGTTTGCTTAGCTCAAAAATTGTGTATGTAAAAAGCCAAGGAAGAACAGTAATTTACTCAGGCATCAAAACCCTTTATAGTCCAGTTGCTAACAAATGACAGAGGAATCTATTTACTTTCTGTCTCTTTATCACCCAGTCTCATTTCCCACAAGGTCTTCCTCTTCTCCTGATGCATCTTGGAAATCAGATCATCAGCAAACATCCCTACCTGCACTAAAATTCTAGATTGTGCTCTACTTCAAACTTCCCTATCCTATTGTCTTAGTGAGAAGAATTAGTGCAGTTCAGAGCACAAGATCAAAGGCAGCTTGTCTTGGACAAAAAGGAATGATGGAAGGTGAACAGCTGTGCAGCAAAAGGCAGGAGATATTTTTATGTCAAAGGTGAGAATACTCCAATAATCTTGATCCCCATCTTCTTTGATGGTCATGTTGATGGAGGATAGCCGGACATGGTCTCAGATTGCCAATTTTTTTACTTCTCATCCCACAACTTAACTTAAACAATCTGGAATTCAATAATTGGTACATTAGTAGAAAGGGAATAGTGATGAAGTAGTATTGCTTCTGCTTGGACATACATGTAGAAAAATTGCCTGAAAACAGCAGAACAGGATCAAAAACATGTCTTGGAAGTAGAGATTTTGAAAGGCCTTCTACCTTTCCCATCACTCACTGCCGTTTTTCCCCCCAAAGAGCCTTTCACTTCCCATTCTCCTGCCCATATTAAAGGCCTGTTGTTTGAGGGAGAAGATCCCAGTATATCTAATCATTGTGAAGTTAATTTGTTTTGAGGGAAGAATGCCCTACTTATATACTGCTGAAATCATTCTACAATAACTATAAGGACTTGATAAATAGGGAAATACTTGTCAGCTAAAGAGGCATGGGTCTTTAATATTTTAGTTAATTGCTTCATTTTGTTAGAGCACCTATGTAGAGGTGTGCATTTATTTAATATTTTTCACATCATAGCAATAAATTCCTAGTGTACTATGCATTTTGAAGGAGTTTAGCATGCTTTTAAAAGGAAAGAAGGTTCTCTACTGCTTTCTTCTTAAGAATTGTTTCTTGTTCAACTCAGGTTGCAACAAAATAATGTAGCATTTGGGAAAAAAGAGACAACCCAACAATCCAGCACTGGAGGATAAGATGCAAAAGATCTCCACAGCTACTATATATTTTCCTTGGGCACTCAAGTAAGTGGGGACAAAAGTGAACCAAACACTACAAAACACTAACATGCTGAATGTTATAAGTTTGGTTTCATTAAAACTATTTGGCAACTTGCGGGCAAAAAAAGCCACAGTGAAGCTGACTATTGCCAGGAAACCCATATAGCTCAGGACACAATAAAACATGATTGGTGATGACTCATTACACTTTAAAACAATTATTTCAGGTACTGAATGCATGTCCATATCTGGGAAAGGAGGAGAAGTTGCCATCCACACCAGAGAGATGCATACTTGAAAAAAAGAGCAAGAAAGAACAATAGAGCAAGACAGGCTGTTCCCCACACATTTTTTGAGCCTGGATCCTGGTTGGGTTGCCATGAAAATGAGAACCACAGTGATGGTTTTTGCTAGCACACAAGAAACAGCCAATGTGAAGACAATGCCAAAGGCTATTTGCTGGAGAAAGCATGTTGCCTTCTTTGGTTGTCCAATGAAGAGCAATGCACAAAGGAAGCATAGCATGAGTGAAATAAGAAGCATGTAAGAAAGGCTACAGTTGTTGGCTTTCACTATGGGAGTATTGTGGTACTTCAGAAATATTCCTAATATCATAACTGTTGCCAATGAAAATAAAAGAGCACTGGTGCTTAAACTGATGCCCAAAGGTTCTTCATAAGACAAGAAGCTTATAATCTTGGGAATACAGGTGTTCTTATCTTCATTAGCATAGTAATCATCAGGGCACTTGACACAGTCAGCCATGTCTGCAAAATAGAAGTTTTCAAGTAAAATTATAATATATTGACTTTAGGATCTTGAAGGAGGCATGAAAAAAAAGTAAGATTTGAAATCTTCTGTGCACATTCATCTCAAAGATGAGTGGCATAATTGCCATGCCAGCAAATAGATTCATTTCTAAGAAGTAAAGAAAAGGGAAGGGATAAAAAATAAAGGTCATTGTAAGAGGCAACAGTATTTCAAGTGACATTACATCATAAAATTTAGCTATATCTCTCTTAAAGTCTATTTTTTATTTTTTTTAACATAATGCAAATGTATTTATAAAGTGCAAATCTAATACAGAAGTGGTTAGCAGTGAAGAACATAGATAACTATATGAACCTAGCAGTGATTGCATTACTTATCTATATATCTTGCATGAATATTTCTTTTGAAAATAAATCATATGATCTATCTATGCATACTTACTCACCTTTGTGATAGGATATTGATTCTTTGGGGCATGTAATACAATCATAACAACAAAAAGGTTTCCCTTCTTTCCATCTTTTTCTAGTTCCAGGTTGGCAAAAAGGATTACAGAGAGAAAGAGGCAATGCCTGTCCATTAATAAAGAAAGAGCAAGGTAATTATGGGGCATCAAATTTCTAATTGTGTCATTAAAATATGTGGTACAAAGGTCATCATAGTTAGGAAGACAGTAGTGGATAGATTCTTGCAGGAACCAGAAGATGTGGCTTCTCTGTTGTAGCCCCTGCCCTTTAGAATATTTTCCCATCAAATCTCACATTGTTTTTTAATGCTGTGAAGACATGGTTGTGTGCCTAGGCCTCAGGCTCTGCTTCCTGGGTGTATTAAATTCCATGAAGCAATAACTTCACTTGGTATGATGTATATATGTATGTATGTATACACATACACACAGTGCTCTGGGTCACTTGTTGAAATGGGTGGCTATAAAATCTTAAGTAAATACGATAAACAAATAAAACATTAAACATGGTTTTCCTTTCCATTTGTTTCTCTTTTTTTCCAGCTATTTGAGAACCAGAACTGCCACAGAGTCTGTCCAAAACTTGGAAAGAAATTGTAATAATTAATGTGAAGGAAGGAGAAAATTATTAAATCCATTGGACATTATCATGTTATTTCAAATAATATTTACCTATTGAATTGAAATTTTGATTAATATTAATGATATTGGAATTAAAAATAATTAATTTAAATTCTCCTTTTATTTGTATGTGGGACTTCAGAATGCCCCAAAATAATGAATCACCTTATGTAATTTCCAATGAGCAGAAATTTTTCAGCCATAGAAGTTGAAGTTGCATATACATGTTAGGGCATAAGCGCACAAACATGCCTACCATCCCTGTCCTACTGTCCCCATTTATTCATATCCTTATCCTGTATTCATAATAATGTTTATACTTATATCTGTCATCTTTTATGTATTTGACAAATAAATAAATAAAATAAATAAAAAATAAATAAATGCATGGAATGGAAAACAAGTATCATTTTGTAGGTAATTTTATCCAGTTTAACATTACCCATGTAACAAATATATCCATGCATCTAATTATTCATATAGGTTGAGACATATGTGGTAGGAACTAGTGGTTAAAAGGTTACCGATAACTATTATGTCAACATAATAGCTGCCTCCAAAAGCCACCAAGAAATTGGCTAAATATAAAGAAACTCTAATGGGCATATCAAAAAGATCGAACATAATTGAATTCTTTAAAGGACACCCTCTCTTAGCATCTCTGTAGCAATGACAAGCAGTTTTATATATATATTTATTTATTATATTAAATTATATGCTACCCAAATCACTGTCCAGTGTGATGATGAACTATTAAAGGATTGATTCTAGTCTGTGACTGAGATTCTAATCTAACCAAGTTTGATGTGAATTTTTTTTTTGGTCTAGTTAAACCAAGTTCTGATAAGAGAATTAGCCATCTTCAGAACTGAAATTTCTTGCTGAGTCTTACTGAGACTGATGGTGTTTACAGAATATTTCTCTAACCAATTTTGAAAGATGAAACACTTTGAAAACGGATCAAACAGAAATATATTTTATAGAATATTCTTCATATTCAGGTTTAATAATTGTGTAACAGAAATTATTACATTTTACTGCATTCTCATTACTCCATTTTGTATTATTCCATTTGTGGAAAAAAATCTATGTGCTTTCTTTTTCATTGATATTTCTTTTTCTCCATTGAATAAAAACTACTCCTTGATGATGTGATGTCATTGGAAGAAACCTTAAACTCAAGGGGGAGAATTTTTGGCTCCATTGACAAATGAAAAAAGCCATACTTTACCTTGTATATTCCACCAGTTAGTTGCCAAGGATATCACAAAATAGTTTTGGGAGAAAAAGTTAGAAAAGCATTTACTGAATCAATAACCAATTCAGATAGACCTGTCTCTCCTATCCCTCAAAAATTGCCATCTAATGAGATTTCAGATTCTTCACAGGGCCTCCTGCCCTTTAAAACCTTTTACCCTGAGATCTGTCAAGTTTCCAAAAATTTGTAAAGACATAACTTTTCCTGACAAGCTTGGAGTGATTTAAAGGTGAAGTCCAGGCAAGGTATACAGTATTGTATAATAGATATGGGTGGCTAGACAAATCTTTTTTAAAAATAAATAAATTTCCATTAGAGAAAATTCAATTAATCAATTTCAGTTGACTTACTCATCTCATATCACAATAATTCTGATGTAGAGAATATCTGAGATTTATAGAAACATTACCAGCCAGTTAAATGTAGTCCTTGAATACAGAGATAACCAAAGAGGAAAAGAGAGAAAGAAAGAGACAAGTCCTTGTCATTCATATTGCTGAAGTATGACTATGGGAAATATATAAAATATTTTCAGTTAATTCCTACCTGGTTAAACCAGCTGTGCCATACTATTGCATCTTCGTTAATAGTGAATGCTTTCTCTGGAGGAGATTGAGGATCCATTTTCCCAACTTTCACTAGAGTGAATGATTGATTGGGAAATGTAACCCAGTTGATGATGTCAAGTTCTTGAACTAACTTCCTATTCTGATCAAAGAAAATCCTTTCACCAGCACTGTTGTTAAATGATACAGATTTCATAAAATGGAATAACTAGATCAGAAAATAAAACATTACACATTTATATTTAACAGCTGTATTATTGCTATTATTATTATAAGCCATTATTTGTTGTTCTTGATTTATGGCCAGAATTGAGACCAGAAGTTCCATTACAACTCAACAATGGAAGTTATTAAATGATTTGCATCTTATTTTACAACTTGTTGTTGTTGTTCAAAGCACCATACTTGTTAAGTAAGTCACCTGGTCAATAGCCAAATTCATCTTCTCCCACTTTACTTATTGGAACCCACCTGAAAAAGTCACCAATGACAATCACATAGTCTTGGAATGTGTTACCTATGGGATTTACTTAAACTGCCCACTCCAAAAGACTCTGGGCTGCTTACAACATAGCCAGTATTTAACTAAAACAATTGAAAATATAAAAACAAAATATAACAGCTCAAAAAAGAGAGTAACCATAACAGTAAAAAATTGGCACACACACTAACACCAGACCTAGTTGAAAGCCAGGTTTCAAGGACATTTTGAGACTTACATTTTGAGACTTACCGTATGTAAGTCTCAAAATGTCCTTGAAACCTTGTAAGTATCTCTTAAACCTTGTGTCTTTCTCAATAATCTAGGGGCATAGTCTGTGATGCCCTAATTCTAACCACTGTTGTGGCACAAAATCTAACATATTCTCAATGGATCTTTTATATAAAGTCCTCCGCAGCTGTCTTTATAAATCCTTTTAATAGTACATAGATGAGAAGTAGAAAAATAACATCTCCTCACTCCTCAAAGTTGCCATTGAATGAAAACAAATAAAATAGGATAGAATAGAATAGAATAATAGAGTTGGAAAAGACCTTGGAGGTCTTCTAGTGCAACCCCCTTAATAGGCAGGAAACCAGTGGTGGGATTCAGCCAGTTCGCACCACTTTGGGAAGAATCAGTTGTTAACTTTCTGAGCAGTTTGGCAAACTGGTTGTTGGAAGAAATCATTAGGGCAGAGAACCGGTTGTTAAATTACTTGAATCCTACCACTGCAGGAAACCCTACACCACTGCAGACAAAAACATCCCAATGGTATTTTATTTGGACTTGAGGACACCAATGAAACTGATGATATTAGAAAGGTACACAAACATCACCAGTAAATGTCAGATACCAACTGTCTCTCCTGAGGAAATCATCGATGTTTCCCGGGACGGACCTGAGTTCAAGTATGGTGACGGCTCAGTGGCTCCACACTTCTGCAGAGTTGCTTGCAAAAATAAGACCAGCAAATGCAAATTCATATATAGTATCAACTCAATTGCCAGAAGCAACACCAACCATAACAAACTTGCTCAAGGCCTGACCTATCCACACTAGTCCATGAATATGTGCTGAACTCAAAAGATGCCAAGATCAGGGAGAATCTGATATACATCGACTACCATGCTGACTGCGTTAAAAGTAAGAACAATGGCCCACGTCTCAACAACCACCACCCTAGCAACCAATACTAGTCATGTACACCCTAACGTCCTCAAAATCTACTGCCACAGGCCTTAAATGTAAATTACTTAATGCAAGAAGCCTCGTAAACAAAATACCAGAATTCCTCTTCTTACTAAATACAGCTATATTCGACATTATATTTGTCTGCGAGACATGGCTGAATCCATTCCTTCCAGACCCCATTACCACAATAAGAAGCTATCATGTTTACCGTCCAACCATGAAATCCGTAGAGGGGGGGTATTGCCATAATCTATAAAAAAAATCCCTAAATCTAAAAAATATTCAAGAACTTGCTCTTCCTGAGACCATCATATATGAGTTTTCCCTAAACACCATATTTTGCTTCTTACTTAGTTACAGAGCTCCTGATTACAACCTTGTACATGTGAACAAACTAACTTCACTACTAACATTGGCAGCCTCCTGCCTGCACCCCCTTATCTTTCTTGGAGACCTCATTCAATCTCTTATTAATTGGATCATAAATGAATGTACAACGGAACCAATACATACAACCATGTACAATTCCATTACTAATCTGGGATTGGATCAACTTGTAACAAACTACACTAGACTCAACAATTGCCTTGATCTTATCTTCTGCAACAGTTTAAACCCAATCTATGGTCTACAAATAAATGAACCCTTTTCAAACATGACCACAGCATGATTGGCAGCTCAGGGCAGCTCAGGGAGGAAGAAGCCAACATCCAGAATAAGCTTGGATGACCCTTAATCTATGGACAAGCTCAGTTGTGGTTTGCTTGAAGAGTAAAATTTTAGGATTTGAAACACAACTAATCAAGCTGAAGGTAGATGCAGAGAAACCCACTAAGTTTATCAGCATTTTTTGCAGTGGGAGTTCCTTCTAGGAAAATTTTCAGCCAAATTGTCTTTCAGCTTGTCTTGTCCCGGTCCATGTGAAAGGGAAAAAACCACAGCAGGCTAGCAGGATTCCTCAAAGTAAATGAACGGCTTAATCACCAACATGGCCAGATGCACAGCACAAATCGAAGTACAGGGTCAAAGTCAGGGCTGCGTGCAATTGCCACGCAGCGCTATTTAACACTCTTTATAAGCCATCATCCGGCACACCCATCATCAAAACTGCCCCTCCCACCGTAGTTTCAATTTCCCACCAAGTGTGTGTTGCCGATGACATCGTCAAATGGCGCCATGCAGAGAGCCAGAACCCTCACCAATGGAATACGTTCTCTGGGCTGCCATGTAAGGCTTGCCACAGGCTGGTCACTGACCCGGATCTCTCACCTCCCCCATCGTAAGTGTCCATGTGTGGCAAGTCCCGGCCAGGGCTCGACAGGCGGCTCCCCTCTACCAGGGGCACACCTGTATGGAGGAGAGCAGAGGTATTAGTGTCATTAGAACAGCATGTCAACGCCCCAGGTCTGTTTGGTATTTACAATGAAACCGCCATATTAAATGTGTGGCGTAAATGTCCGGTGCATCCAACCATGTAGCCTGCGAGAAGGGATACCCCTTCCATTGAACTAAATATTGTATCTTACCCCTCCGCACCCTAGAGTCCAGGATCTTATTTATTTCATAATGGTCTGTATGTACTGGGCCTGGCAGGCCAGGAGAATCTACAGGCTGTTCCACCGTTACTGGTTTCAACAAGCTACTGTGAAGCACAGGATGTATCTTCCCCAAAAGTGGGGAGGGGGTAACTTGAGAGCCACAGTCACAGGATTGATCACCCGCTTGATGGGAAATGGGCCTATGTATTTTGGTCCAAGCTTCCGACTTGGTAGTTTCAGTTTTAGGTATTTGGTTGATAAATAGACCCGATCACCCATACAGAATGGTTTCAGGTCTGCCCTTTTTTTATCTATGTATGCTTTGTATTCATCCATAGCTTTTTGTAAGGCTGTTTTTACACTTGATCACACTAAATGGATTTTCTCTGCCCATCCAGCCAGGGTATCTCCATCTGTTGATGGTGGATCTAACTCTGGTATAGCTGGCAAATCTGTACCGTACACCACGTGGAAAGGGGAAAGGCCTGTGCTACAATGGGTAATATTGTTATAGGCCACTTCTGCGAATGGCAAAAGACGGATCAATTTGATTGTTAATACGAAACATAGCACGTTAAGTATTATTCCACCATGACATTGGCTTGTTCAACTGTGTCATTGGTGCTCAGATGGAATGCTGAGCTCAAGCCCTGGGTGGACCCTATCAATCATAGAAAACACTTCCAGAACTTGGCAATGAACTGAATCCCACGGTCTGATATAATTTGTTTGGGTACCCCATGGAGGTGGTAGATATGTTGGAGAAATAGGTCTGTAAGGCATCTACCCTTACATGGTACAAAATGGGCCTGCTTCAGAACAAATCCACCAGATACACCAGTCGTCCAGATCTGGTGTATCCATTACTAGGAGGGAGATCGACTATGAAATCCATTGCGATCTCCTCCCATGGCTTACTGGGATTTGCTACTATCTGTTACAATCCCATGGGCTTTCCTGACCACGGTTTGGCTGCTGCACAGGTTGGACACCCCTTGACATACGTTTCAATGTCTCCATGCATACGTGGCAACCAGAACTGCCTTCTAATGAGGTGGAGTCTTTTCAAGAATCCAAAATGTCCTGCTGTCTTGGAATCATGACACCCCCTCAAAACAGTGGTTCGCAGGGTTTCAGGGATGTACATCTTATCCCCTTTCCAGGCCAATCCATCTCTATAGATTATCAATGCCTGATTCTGTGTCAGCCACTGGTCGTTCTGTACAGCCGCCTGCAGCTCGGCCTTGAGCTGCTAATATTATTTGCTAATATTATTTGTGATGGCTGGTTGGGTGGTATAAGGGCTTCCACTATCTCCTCCCTTCTACTGTTGTATTGGGGCATCCAAGATAAAGCATCCGCTAAAAAGTTTTTCCCAGCCGGGATGTATTTCAACTGGAATGAGAAACATTGGAAGTATTGTGCCCACCATACCTGTTTAGGGGACAACCGCTGAGTTCTTTGCAATGCTTCCAAGTTCTTATGGTCCGTCCATACTTCAAACGGATGGGATGCACCTTCCAGAAGGTGCCACCATGTCACTAACGCCCAACGGACAGCAAATGCCTCCTTTTCCCATATAGTCCAATTACGTTCTATGGGGGTCAGTTTCTGGGAGGTGTAGGCGCATGGGTGTAATTGGTCCTGCTCATCCTTTTGTAGAAGTACTGCCCCCACAGCCATGTCACTATTATCTACTTGAACAACAAATGCCTGTGTAGGATCCAGATGTTTGAGTACGGGTTCATGAGCAAAGAGTCGTTTCAACTGCTTAAATGCTAACTGGCAATCAGACGTCCAGTTCGGTGGCTGTCCTGTTTGGGTTTTAATATTGAGGGTTTGGTCCTCAACAGGTTCGTCAGAGGTAAAGCTACCTCAGCAAAAGAAGGAACAAACAGCCAATAAAAATTGGCAAACCCCAGAAAACTTTGTAACTGTTTCCTAGTTCGTGGGGCTTGCCATTCTAAAACAGCTTGGACCTTACAAGGATCCATCTCCACCCCATGTGATGATATTCAATATCCTAGGTAATCTATCATTGTTTTGTGAAACTCACATTTTGACAGTTTCACAAACAACTTGGCTGCCAACAACTTTTCCAACACTTGGCGTACCAGACGGGTGTGATCTTCCATGGTCTGGGTATAAATTAAGATGTTGTCTAGGTATACAAGGACCCCTCTATACAGGTGTTCATGCAGGACCTCATTGATCAACTGCATAAACACCGCAGGGCCCCTTGTAACCCGAACGGCATAACCTGGAACTGATAACTTCCCAGGGGACAATTGAACATGGTTTTCCACTCTTCCCCTGGTTTGATCCACATCTGGTAATATGCCTCACGTAGGTCGAGTTTTGTGAAGATACAACCACTAGCCAAAGTAGCTAAAAGGTCCTTCATCAAAGGCAGCAGGTATAAATGCTCCACACATACATCGTTAAGGTCCCAGAAGTTGACACATAGACGTAATCCCCATCTTTCTTCTCTCTGAACAGCACAGAGGCTGCCATACGGGACCTGCTGGGTTTGATAAAGCCTCTCACTAAGTTCCTATCAATGTACTTCTCCTCAATTCCTCCAATTCCTTCTGTGTCATTGAGTACATTTGTGGTTTCGGCAACGTAGCCCCAGGAATCAACTCAATGGCACAGTCTGTGGACCTATGAGGTGGCAGCGCCTCACACTCCTCCTCACTAAACACAGCAGTCAGATCTGCATCGATGTTAGGAAACCCCTGAGTTGGATGAACCCTCACTGGAGTGCACCCCTTCACTAGACCCCCTGCTTGGTCAGCAGCAGGTGGGTCTGGTCCGAGAGCTAACCGTAATTTCCGGTATCCGCCTTCCCACCATATTGTAGGGCCCCATTTATCAAGCCATGCTAATCCCAAGATTATTGGTTCAATCATCTTTTCTACGACAATGAACTGAATGGTTTCTTGATGGTCCCCTATCTCCAGATGTACATTTTCTGTCAGGTGAGTTGCTGCCCCCCCCTCCAATAGTGACCCATCCATCTGCTCGAAAGTAACAGGGGTTTTCAAGCGTATAATACAAAGCCCCAAATCATCTAGTACAGTTCGACAGATAAGACATTGAATGCAACCCGAATCCACCAAAGCCCCGTATCTCAACCCAGAATCTGAGCAGGAGTTCCTTAGTACAACCGGGATCACAAAAGGATGGATGAGGTCTCTCATCATAGGGTCCACTGGGTCCTCATCGTCACTATCCTCGGATACCACTGGAAACTTCCCCAAACTTGGTGCAACCCTGGCCTCCCTAGCTGGAGGCTTATTGTCCATTGCGGGGGTCTGTGTCACTTGCGAACGTTCAGGCGTCATCCTGACTCGTCCTCTCGTTGAACTCCCAACAGGTGGTTTTTGGGTTGGTACTCGTGGGACTGGCATGGGACACTCAGCTGCCTGATGTCCCATCTGGTTGCATCAAAAACATCGAAATAATGGCCAGCGAGCCCGTTCAGCTGGTTCTGGAGCAATGCTAGGTTTCGTCTCTTTAGGGCTTTGAGCCCGTTCCATGGGTGTTTTCGGTTGTCCAGGGGTGGTTCCCCTCACCCCTTGCATGGAATTCCTTCAAGCCCACATCTAGTTCTATGGCTGCTTTAAACCACTCGGTCAATCGGTGAGGCAGCCCTCGATACACACACGCTTGTCGGAGGTCCCGGTCCAAGCCCTTGCGGAATTGATGGACCCATCAGATGGGCCACAATCTTACAGAATTCACGAACATAGTCTTTAGCCGGTGCACCTCTCTGCCTGAGGCCAAAAAGATCTCCCTCTGTGATTTGCACACTAGACTCACCTTCAAATTGGGAGTGGAGAGCTTCTAGGAACTTCCCTACATCCACAAGTTCTCCAGCATGGTTGCTGTGTAAGCTTGCCACCCAATCTGCCACCTCTCCCGTCAGGACCATCATGATAGCCACCACCATCGCCTACTGGGAAAGGTACCAACGGCCGTATAAATCCAGGTGGCTTATTACCTGACTTAAGAATAGGGCCATCCAGTCTGAACTCCCATCAAATGTGGCTTGTATGGCAGGTGGGCCCCATACAGCTTGAGGGGCCCACAGCCCTGGCAGCCAAGCTGGAAAGGGGTCTGGAGTTCTGGCTGTTCCAGTGCCTCTCCTATCGATTCTATCTGTCCGTGACCTGCCCCCTGGAGGCCCCTGAACCCCTTTTGTTGGCACTTTATCAGGTTTTGAGGGTGGTGGTCCAACCCCCCATTCACCCTCCCCCATCGATGACCCATGGTCCCAAGGTACCGGGTGGTCAATGGGCCTGCTGGGCACCTGAGCTACTCAAAGCTTGGGGCTGGAAACACAGAAATGAGCTTCTGAACTAGTAATCCCTGTATCCTGCCAAGAGGGTCCCTGTGGGGGCTCTAAACCCATAGCCCAGAGTTGCCAGGATGGAGCATCATGGAAACTGGCCTCTCCAAATCTGTCCCACAACAAGTCCACAGAACTAGAGCCAGCAGCTGTGGGATATCCCCACTCCCCTTCCTTATCCACCGTCCAACGCTGATCTCTCCACCCCTGGAAAGATGCTCCCAAACGAGGGGTTTTTGGTATTTTAGGTCCCGTAAGGGCAGAACTGTGCCACCACTCCCCTGTGGCTTGCTTACCAGCCCTTGCTCCTTGCGATGAGGACACCTCCTCCTCTAGGCAAGCCCCATTCCTGGTCTGCCGCACCTTTGGTTTGACCACTGGCTGGTCAGCAGTTACCTGTGTCTCTTCTACAAGCAGCCCTTCCTCCACAATGTCTTCAGCCACCATCTCCATTTCAATCCTCTCTGGGACTGTCCCCCTCCGCCATTCTCTAAACAGCCTTCAAACAAACAGGATACTAAAGCCAAGAGCAAGGTGAATGAAAAGAGTTTGAGGAGCGCTGACTTTCTTTCGGCTTGTCTTGTCCCGGTCCGTGTGAAAGGGAAAAAACTACAGCAGGCTAGCAGGATTCCTCAAAGTAAATGAACAGTTTAATCACCACACAGCCAGACGCACAGCAAAAATTGAAGTACAGGGTCAAAGTCAGCACTGTGTACAATCGCCACACAGTGCTATTTAACACTCTTCATAAGCCATCATCTGGCACACCCATCACCAAACCCCCCCCCCACCATAGTTTCAATTTCCCGCCGAGTGTGTGCTGCCGATGATGTCATCAAACAGTGCCATGCAGAGAGCCAGAACCCTCACCAATGGAATACGTTCTCCGGGCTGCTGTGCGAAGTCTTGCCACAGGCTGGTCGCTGGCCTGGATCTCTCCCCTCCCCCATCGTAAGTGTCCATATGTGGTGAGTCCCGGCCAGGGCTCAACATTGTCTTTTAATCTTCACTTTCCATACCCTGATAAAACAGCTATCCTGGGTTAGAGATTGATTTTAGAAAGAACTAGGATTTATTCCCATGTAAACGTTTTTAAACAGGGCCAAGTTGTGGCCCCTTAGACTGTCCTAGTGGAGAGAAAAGCAGGACTTCAACAAGGAGGACCATCTGAAGAAAAAAATTGGAGGCCTTCGTGAAATGCACTGGGCCTCCTAAGGCAAGATGGTGGAGTGGCCGTCAGCTTGTAGAAATAATCGACAGGGCTAAGGCTCAGTGACTGGAGGGCATTCGTTGTTTGCTGGGATACCTCAATATGTGGCTCCTCTTAAGCCACCAGTAAAGTCCCTAGAGAACTCCCAGACTTGCTTCAATTTTATTCGACATCTTTTGAAGCTTAGACCATTTTTTACTGTTGCTCGATATATTGATTTTATCTTGGGAGGGTGCGTATGTGTGTATGTGTGATTGTGTTTGGGATGAATTGAAATTTAAATTATTTTAGAATGGAAGGGTGGGTTTGGAGTGGCTGGAATTAGGGAGAATGAGGGAGCTGGGGGCAGGGAATGGAGTCCCTCTGCTGAGTGTGCAAGCAGAAGCAGATGGGGACTCAGATATGACCCCCAGTTTGGTATGAGTGGGGTGCCTTGCCTGCCAGGGAGGAAGGGGGGCCCTGAGGTGAGGAAGGGGATCTCTGGGGGGATGGAGAGCCGAATATTGCGGTTATGACTGGGAGAGGTAGATATGGCAGGAGCCAAGGGGTAGGCTGCTCTCAGGGAACTAAGACTCACTGCCTCAAAGCGATTACTTGTTTCAGCCCCTCTGGTTTTAGTTCATCGGGTTCACCTCGTATACCTGGTGACTTGGGATGTCAAGGCCCTGGCCTCTGGCTGCTACTGTTTAATGCCAGGTCTGTTGTTAACAAGGCTCCACTCGTTCGGGACCTAATCCTAGAGGAGGAGGATCTAGCATGTATAACTGAGACCTGGCTGGGCCAGGAGGGGGTTGTTCCCCTCTCAGAGATGTGCCCAGACGGGTTTCAGATATTGCATCAGCCGCAACTCCAGGGAAGGGGTGGAGGAGTGGCAGCTATTGTCCGGAAGAATCTCTGTCCTCACAGGATCCCTGCCCCAGAGATTGTTGGGTGTGAGTCTTTCCTCTTGAGGCTGGACTCAAAGGTTCAGTTGGGCCTGTAATTGATGTACCTGCCTCCCAGCTGCGTTACAACAACCCTGCCTGTGTGCTGCTAGAGGCAATAGCCGGGTTGGCGCTGGAGTTCCCCAGTTTATGGTACTGGGGGACTTCAACCTGCCGTCACTTGGCGAATCCTCAGATGTGGCTCAGGAGTTCATGGCTTCCATGACAACCATGGACCTGACCCAAGTAGTTCAGGGTCTGACCCATAGGGAAGGACACATGCTTGACCTGGTGTTTCTCTCAGGGCAGTGGAGACAGGATCTGGAATTAAAGAATATAGATGCTTTTCCCTTGTCGTGGTCAGATCATTCATGTTGAGCTGGACTTTAAGACACCATTCCTCCATCATAGGGAGTTGGAGACGATTAAGTGGTTCTGCCCCAGATGCCTAATGAACCTGGAAGGGTTTCAGAAGGAGCTTGGAGCTGTGGACTCCCTTGTCCACAGTCCAGCCGAGACCCTGGTGGCTGCCTGGAAGAGGGCAGCGTCTGGGGCATTGGACTGGATTGTGCCTTTGCAACCTCTCAATGGCAGGGGATCTAGGAAAGCTCCCTGGTTTACCGAGGAGCTCTGGGAAATGAAGCACCAGAAGAGACTCTGGAGGAGTCTTACTGGAGGACCAGTAAATCTGAATCTGACTGAACACTCTTGAGAGTCTTTATTAGGACTTATTTAGTGGCGATACGGGCGGCAAAATGTTCACATTTTTCTGCACTTATTGCATCTGCAGCTTCTCACCCAGCCACCCTATTTAGGGGGACTCCCTCCCTCCTTAATGTAGGGGGAGCGGAGGAGCCCTTGCAGGGTAGAGCTGAGAAGTTTGTGCAGTTTCTGTTGGATAAAGTTGCTCAGATTCGGATGGACCTGGACTCTGATTGGGCAATACCGACAGAGATTACGGGGGGTCTTAGTCCTATTGTGTGGGATGAGTTTGAGCCAGTGACGCCAGAGGAAGTGGATAAGGCAGTAGGTGCAATGAGTTCCTCCACCTGTTTGTTGGACCTGTGCCCCTCCTGGCTGGTTTCAGCCAGCAGGGAGGTGACACGAGGCTGGCTCCAGGCTTTAGTTAACGCGTCCTTGAGGGAGGGGTCCTTCCCACAACCATTAAAGGAGGCAGTTGTAAGCCCTTCCTCAAGAAGCCTTCCCTGGATCCTGGAGAATTAAAGAACTTTCGGCCAGTCTCCAACCTACCCTTGTGGGAAAGGTTGTAGAGAAAAGGATGGCACTTCAGCTCCTGCAGTCATTGGATGAAACAGATTATCTAGACTCTTTTCAGTCTGGCTTCAGGCCTGGCTACAGCACGGAAACTGCCTTGGTCACACTGATGGATGATCTCTGGCGAGCCCGAGATGGGGGTCATTCCTCTATCTTGGTGCTACTTGACCTCACAGCAGCTTTTGATACCATTGACCATGGTATCCTTCTGGGACGACTAAGGGAGTTTGGAGTGGGAGGCACCATGTTATAGTGGTTCTATTCCTATCTCTCTGGTCGGTCACAGTCGGTATTAGTAGGAGGACAGAGGTCGACCCCTAGGCCCCTTGTTTGTGGGGTGCCTCAGGGCTCAGTCCTCTCTCCCCTCCTATTTAACATCTACATGAAACCGTGGGTGAAATCATCCGACGATACGGGGTGGGATATCAGCAATATGCTGATGATACCCAGCTGTATATCTCCACTCCACGTCAGTTCAGTGATGCAGTGGATGTGATGTGCCGGTGCCTGGAGGCTGTGAGGATCTGGATTGGAGTCAACAGGGTCAGATTTAACTCAGAGAAGACCAAATGGCTATGGGTATTGCCTCCTAAAGACTATGTCGATTGTCCATCTCTGGTCCTGGGGGGGGGGAAATTGTCCCCCTCAGAATGGGCTCGCAATCTGGGTGTCCTTCCAGACTCACAGCTAAGATTAGAGCAACATCTGACAACTGTGGCTAGGGGGACTTTTGCACAGGTTCACCTGGTACACCAACTGTGACCTTACTTAGATCAGGAGGCTCTCCTCACAGTCACTCATGCCCTTGTCACTTCATGGTTGGATTAGTGCAACATGTTCTACATGGGGCTACCCTTGAAAAGTGTTCAGAGACTACAGTTGATCCAGAATGCAGCCGCGCGAGCTATGGTGGGTGCAGCTAGATATACCCACATTACACCAATTCTCCGCGAGCTGCACTGGCTCCCTATCGGTCTCCGGACACAATTCAACCTTTGTTGAATTCAACCTATTACCTTTAAAGCCCTACATGGCTTAGAGCCAGGCTATCTTCGAGACCGCCTTCTACCGCATAGCTCCCAATGACCGGTAAGATCCCACAGAGTTGGTCTCCTCTGGGTCCCATCAGCTAAATAATGTCGGCTGGCAGGCCCGCAGGGGAGGGCCTTCTCTGTGGATGCCCTGGCTCTCTGGAACCAATTACCTCCTGAGGTCCAGACCGCCCCCACCCTATTGGCCTTCTGGAAAGCAGTGAAGACCTGGCTTTTTCAGCAGGCCTGGGGCCCTTGATCTTACTGTTGCAATCTTGCGAGATCCAGCCATGAATGGAGTGTATGGGTTTTTAATGTTTTTTAAAACAACTTTTATGATATATTGTTCACATTATTTTTTGTTGTAAGCCGCCCAGAGTCCCCAGGGAGTTGGGCAGCATAGAAATGCGACAAACAAATAAATAAATAAATAAATAAATAAATAAATAAATAAATAAATAAATAAATAAATAAATAAATAATTGACTTTTGTCTCAATTTATGTCCTTAGAAAGATGATCATAATGACGGAATCCCAAAGTATAACTTTAGAAAAGGCAACTATGATCTCATAACTGACAACCTCTCATCTCTTGATTGGCAAACTCTGTTCACTGGCTTCATTACTGCCGAAGACCATTATAACATTTTTTTTACATGAAGTCAAAAGAATCATCAAACTGCATATACCACTAATAACCCCCAAAACCTGGAAAAAAAAATTACCCATAACAATAAGGAAGTTTCAGTAAAAAAAAAACCCAAAAAACTCTTTGGTGCAAAAACAAAACTGGCTACATAGCTAACTTCAAAAGTCACTACAAATCCTTATACCGACAGATAAAAGCAGAATGCATCAGTTATCATAGCAAACAAGAGGAAAACCTACTATGCGCAAAATCCACCCATGCCTTCTATAATTTTGTGAACAACAAACTTAAAGACTCAAGATCCATCCCACCACTAAAAGGGACAAACGGGAAAAACTGTAATGATGAAACCGTTAAGGCCAACCTCTTCAACACATTCTTCAGTTCAGTCTTTGTAAACAGCAACAGATCATGTCCCACATTTCCCAATTGTACCACAATTAATTACAACAATCTACTAGATGTCAATGAAAAAGCATTACACAACCTAAAACCATCTCTATCTATTGGTATTATGGATTATGTACCTACTTCTTTAAAAAGCTCTCAACCACCATAACAGAACCTCTTAGCATCATCTACGAAATATCTTTCAGAACCAGCTCCTTGCCTAATTTATGGCCAGTAGCCATGGTCATATCTATCTTCAAAAAGGAAGACCCTAGTTGAAATTTACAGACCAATCTCATTATGTTGTGTCACCTGCAAAGTCATGGAATCAATCATAAATCAATCCATTACCTTGTACTTAGAGACAAATAACCTACCCTCTAACAAGCAGTTTGGCTTCAGAAAAACATTGTCCTATAATCTTCAACTCTTACACTGTAAAAGCATATAGACTTCACATCTTGACCAGGGTAAAGCAATAGGCACAATTTATATAGACTTCTGTAAAGCCTTTGATTCAGTGGTATACAACAAACTACTTCTAAAACTAAAATCTTATGGCATTTCAGGATCCCTGCATAAGTGGATAGCTGTGTTCCTATCAAACAGGCAACAAGTAGTCAAAATAGGGATCACCATATCAAACCCTGCACCTGTTAACAGTGGTGTCCCCCAAGGAAGCGTTTTAGGATACACACTCTTTATACTTTTGTGACCTTTGTGATCATATTATAAGCAACTGTGTTCTCTTTGCTGATGATGTAAAACTACTCAACACCACAGACAATACTGCTACCCTACAAAAAGACCTTGACTATGGGTCAGAATGGTCAAACAACTGGCAACTCCAAATCTCAACCAACAAATGCTCTGTCTTACACATTTGCAAAAAAAAAAAAAAAAAATCAGAACACAAAATACAAGCTGGGCAGATATGATCTCATAGATGACCCTCACTCTGTCAAGGACCTTGGAGTACTCATCTCAAATGATTTAAGTGCCAGAGCTCACTGTAACAGCATTGCCAAAAAGGCATTATGAGTTGTTAACCTAATCTTGCATAGCTTCTTTTCCGGTAATATTGAACTGCAAACTAGGGCATACAAAACTTTTTGCTACATCAATTCTGGAATACAGCTCATCTGTCTGGAACCTACATTGCATATTGGATATTAGTACAATTGAACGAGTCCAGAGGTATTTCATGAGAAGAGTCCTCCACTCTTCTGCTCACAACAGAATATCTTATGCCATCAGGCTTGAAATTTTGGGCTTAGACAATTTAGAACTTCACCATCTTTGGTTCAACCTAAACGTAGTACATAAAATTATCTGCTACAATGTCCTACCTGTCAATGAATATTTCAGCTTCAACCACAACAATACACAAGTCCACAATAGATACAAATGTATGGTAAACCGTGCCAAACTTAATTGCAGAAAACATGACTTCAGTAACAGAGTTGTTAATGCCTGGAATGCACTACCTGACTTCCCCAAACTCCCAGAACTTAAACCTTAGACTGTCGACTGACAACCTCACTCCATTCCTAATAGGTCTTTAAAGGGTGTGCATAAGCACCTACCATCCCTGTCCTAATGTTCCCTTATCTATTTCATGTATTCATAATCATGTTTACACTTATATATGTTATCTAATACATGCTTGACAAAATAAATAAATAAATAAAAATAAAAAATGTTTCTTAGTAAAAAAATTTAGAATTGTAAGTCACATTACTGAGGCCCTGATGTACAAAAGTAAAATGTCAACATATGAAAAACAAACATACAAACAAAAATGCTTGTGTTTTTGCTTTCCTCTTAATCAAGAAATACTTTTGAAAATATTGAGATAGTGGATGCTGTACAAACTCCATATTGAGTCATCTTTAGAGTAGAGTAGGTAGAGTAGAGTAGAGTAGAGTAGAGTAGAGTAGAGTAGAGTAGAATAGAATAGAATAGAATAGAATAGAATAGAATAGAATAGAATAGAATAGAATAGAATAAGAGTTGGAAGGGACCTTGGAGGTCTTCTAGTCCAAACCCCTGCTTAGGCAGGAAACTCTACACCACTTCATACAAATAGTTATCCAACATTTTCTTAAAAACTTCCAGTATTGAAACATTCACAACTTCTGAAGGCAAGTAGTTCCACTGTTTAATTGTTCTAGCTGTTGGGAAACTTATCCTTAGTTCTAAGTTGCTTCTCTCCTTGATTAGTTTCCACCCATTGCTTCTTGTCCTACGCTCAGGTGCTTTGGAGAATAGCTTCACTCCCTCTGGTTTGTGGCCACCCCGAGACATTGGCACTCTGCTATCATGTCTCCCCTAGTCCTTCTTTTCATTAAACTAGACATACCCAGTTCCTGCAACCGTTCTTCATAAGTTTTAGCCTCCAGTTCCCTAATCATCTTTGTTGCTCTTCTCTGCACTCTTTCTAGAGTCTCCACATCTTTTTTTACATCGTGGTGACCAAAACTGAATGCAGTATTCCAAATGTCTTTGAGTGATATAAATCTGAGTCATAAAATGTTTGAAGATTTTATTTTGTACAAATTAAATTTACATTTCAAAAATTGCTACTAATTCCATTTATTCTTGACTGCTCGATATTTGCTTCATTTCTATTCCTATAATACTGTAACTCAATATTTGTGCTTCTATTGGTGGCATTCTAATTAGGTTTCTAACCTTTAATCAGTTATTTGTGTATTAGAGTCAATGATATTCATATATTATTGTCAATATTTACAATAGATACAACTTCAATAACTGTGGGAAAAGTTATTGCAATTATCCCCTTGATTTGACAATGTATTGCATATCATAAATTTGAACTTTCAACACATATATTGACTATATCACAGACTGAAATATTACCAGCCAGCCACGACGATGATGCTTCTTTCCCACTTCTTTCATCAGTAACTTTCTTCCAGATGTGGAGGAATACATGGCTTGCAGAGCATGAGCCACAGCATACACAGCATTGTAGATGCTATAGCTGTGGCCTGTTACTCTTTTTGGAAAAACATGTTCAGGGAGGCTCTCTAAATTCTCCTCTCCACTGCAAATATTCTCCTTCTCATCTCCCAGATCAGAATCTTGAAATGCACATCCAAATGCTTGAGTCCAGAAATCCTTGATAAAACCATCTTCTTTTACAACAGAAGGCTTTAGATCCTGAATATGTTGCCGGAATCCTTTCAGTTCTTTGGCATGAGTTGTAAATGATATCGCACCATGGAAGTCCTGCAAATCCCAGGTTTTTTTACTGGCAAAGTATCTCAACTCCATCCCAATCGTCAGGATCCATACTTTCCCTTTTTGGGTTCCAAATAGTTCTTTGTATTCAGTATTTAGTAAATATCTCAAAATGATCATGGAATGTGTATCTCCATTAAAAATCAAGACATTGGCTTCATTGCCCATTATTTTGACATAAAATGCTATTATACAGTTGAAAAAAAATCCATTATTGGCATTGTAACATGAACTGTCGAATAACTCTATGAAGGCAAAACAAATGCCTTTTTTGGAATACTCAGGTACCAGGATCTGTAAAAACCAATCTAAGTCCATCCCATTCGCCACCAAGAATCCAATCCATCTCCAATTGAAATGTAGAAGTAAGTGGAGGATACCCCTATACTCATAAATTCCATTTGGAACCATTTGGTAGAAGGAAGGGAGATTGGCATCCCCTGCTTCAACTCTAGCAGATCCATACATGAGCTGCAAAAAAAAAAAAGGGGGGGGGAAGGAATTGCTCAGGACAATGGTTTTTTTCCCAATATTGTATGTGCAACTAAAAAGGACAATTTTTTCTTTTGAAAGTTGATACATTTTAGAGCTCATAGGATGTGGCTGAATATAACTCTGTGACTTCAAAAAGTAACAATGTTTACCTATCATTTTTACAGTTTATCTACTTTAAAGGAGACTACCAGGAAACATCGGGCTACTTTATACTTTATAGGCTTGATTGGGAAGGTAAGATACCTTCTCCTCCTCCTCCTCCTCCTCTTCCTCCTCCCCCCCATCAACATTAACATCAACATCAACATCAACATCAACATCATTGAAGAAAACTATGATTTATTATTGTATATTACTGACAGGCAAACTTCATTCAGGGATTTGTTTTTAAAGATATGTATTCATAAGTCCCATATGTTAAGTGTAGTGGATATAAAGTAGATTTTCTCCTTAGCATATAATGGAAGATTAGGTACATTTGGTCTGTGTATGAACTAGATGAGCAGCAATATCTGTTAAAATATTTACTACAACAAAGGTTGACAAAAAACCCTAATCCAAAGTTTGTTTGTTTTTAAGGATGTATTATCGCCATATTATAACTTCAAAAGAGACAATTTTGTGTAATGTTTATGGATTCAGGTAGGAGGCCAGGAGTTCTAGTTCTGCCTTAAGCACAAAGCACCTTGGCCCAGTTCTATCTCTCTGATTCTCAGCCTTAGGAAGGAGGCAATGACAGACCACTTTTTAAATCTTGCCCGGAAAACTGCAGGGACATGTTCAGGCAGCCATCTGGAATCTACACAGACTGAAAGGCACCAAACAACAATAATAAAAATAATAACTCAATTGCAAAGGGCAGCTTTAATTGGAACAGTTTAAATCAGGGGTGAAATGCTCCTGGTTCGTACCAGCTCGGGTGAGTAGGTAGCGATGGGGCGGACAGTTTGGAGAACTGGTAGCAAAAATCCCTTCCCCCCCAGCCTCCAACTTCTTTACCTTCACTCTTTGGACTGAATCCTGAACCGCTGATTGCAACGCCTGCCTTGCTTCACTTGCTGTAATGCCTGCAATCCATTGCATCAGCAAGCAACTGAATCTCCCTGCCTGCAATCAAGCTCATCAGTGAGAAGCTCTATCTGCCTGCCTGCCTGCCTGCCTTGTCCCTTCAATTGGGTAAGTTTTTTCCCCCTTTGGGAGCTTTAAAAAAAATAGTTAATTGGAGATTTTTTTAGTTGTCCTTTTTTTAGACTTAGCCATTTAAAGTTTAGGAAGTTTTAAATTTAGCTGCTTTTATATAAAAATAAAAATAAAATAATATAATATTTGTGCAGCTTTTGTGTGTTTCTGTAGTGTTTCACTCTAACTACACAAACACACAAAATCTCACAAAGCTGTATGTAGAATTTTGTGTGTGTAAAGTGTGAAAGTTGGTTTTTTGGACTTTTTGTGGCTGTGCGAGGTTCCTGCTTGTTGCAGGGGCCATTTTGGGTCTAGCACAGCTGCTTTTATATTGCGGGTGAGCCAGTTGTGTTGTGTTGTGTTGTGTGTGTGTAAAGTGTGAAAGTTGGTTTTTTGGGGGGGCTTTTTGTGCCTGTGTGAGGTTCCTGCTTGTTGCAGGGGCCATCTTGGGTCTAGCACAGCTGCTTTTACATTGTGGGTGAGCCAGTTGTGTTTTGTTGTGTTTTGTAGGTTAAAAAAGGGCAAAGAAGTGACATTGACTTGGCCACGCCACCTGGCCACTAAGCCACGCCCACCCAGTTACCTGACCACCAAGCCACGCCTACTAATTAAGCCATGCCCACAGAACGAGTAGTGAAAATGTTTAGATTTCACACCTGGTTTAAATCCTATAACGATATCTGTAACACCATCAAACATCCACATCAGAGGTGGGTTTCAGCAGGTTCTGACCAGTTTTGGAGGACCAGTAGTGGAAATTTTGAGTAGTTCGGAGAACCGGTAGTAAAAATTCTGACTCCTCCCCACCCAATCCATTCTCTGCCTCCCAAGTCCCAGCTGATTGGGAGGAAATGGGGATTTTGCAGTAACCTTCCCCTGGATTGGGGAGGGAATGGAGATTTTACAGTATCCTTCCCCTGCCATGCCCACCAAGCCACACCCACCATGCCACTCCACCAAGCCACACCCACAGAACCAGTAGTAAAATTTTTTGAAACCCTCCACTGATCCACATCTGCCTATACCAGGCCTGGGAAAGGAGCCAATATGTGGGCAAAAATGACAAATCCAGTCTGAACATGTGTCTAACTATGTAATGAACCAAAATTATAAGTTACAGAATAACTGGGTAGCAACTGAAAAACCCAAATCAAAAACATATTCAATTCGGGGCTTCCGGTTTGCTTCTCGTCGCTGCAAGACAGTCCCTCGGGACCGCCAGCCCCATTGCCTGTAAAGAGCCGCCTTTACACCGGAAAGGCGGCTCAAAAAACTCCATTTCTATGAGGAAATGTGAGACAGAGCCGGCGAAGGCAGGTAGAGCTCTCTGCGAAGCCCCAAAAGTTTTTTTTTTACTTTTGGGGACGAAGCAGATGAGGCTCCCTATTTCCCCTGCCGCCGCTCCGGGCTTTGGGAGACCTCTGCCTTTTTGCAGAGCTAGGCGACAAGAACAAGCCTATTAAAGAAAACTAACAGATCAATTAAAGAGGATGAGAGCTGGACCTGTGACCCTGAATCGCAAGTATTTTCATTTATTTTATAAAAGTTACTGAAGAAGGAAAAAAGAGTTTTTAAAATGGCGACTGCCGAGGCTTGAGAAAGGGCTGAAAGGGAAAGTCCTTCCGTCTCCTATTAAGATACAAAGTAGCGGAATAAATACTCCTGGCTACAATTGAAGATAAAGCTCCACTTTTGTGTTTTCTCTTTCCTGGAGATTTGATATTGATCTTGTTTGGAAAGAAGTTTTTTTCTCTTTACTTTGCTTTTCTTTTCTTTTCTAAAAAAGTTTGCCTGTGTGGAAATATGGCGTTTAGACTTACAAAGCCGGACAAACAAGCAACGGGGGGGGATTCCCCCATCCACAAATTATATGAACAAATTCTTAACCTACAGTCTCAGAAAACTGATTTTAATATAATTGAATTTCTCCTGGAGGAGATTGTAAGAAGGGATGAGATTATGAATCAGAACTTTGAAAAATTTAAGCAGGAAATTAAAGAATTGGTGCAATTAAAGTTTGATATTTTGCAACAAAAGTTTACAAAAATGGCTAATGGTTTCTCAGAATTTATGATCAAGTTGGATACAAATATTAATTTATTAGAGTCTAAAATGGAGGAAATTGAGGACAATTTGGACAATAAAATACAAAAAATTGAAAATGATTTGATAAACACTCAAGACAATAGCTTAGAAGAAAAACCTAAAATGGAAGCTGATCTAAAGATTTGTAATGCAGAAAACATACAACAACGGATTGAAAAGGAAGTTTTAATGATGCAATATAATTTTACTGAATATGCGATTAGACTGAGAGGATTACAGGAAAATAACAGAGATGACTTAAGGAAAATATCTTCTGAAATTCTGGCTGGGATCTTAAAGGTTCAACCTGAGGAAGTATTTTGTAGGATTGATAGAGTTTATAGAATAAATTCCTGGATTGCAAAGCAAAGGCAATTGCCTAGAGATGTGGTGATTTATTTTACAGATAAAGAAATAAGAAATAATATTGTGCAAAAATCTTTTAATTCTACTTTGCAATTGTTTGGAAGAAAGATTTGGATATACAAAGAACTACCACCTAAGATGTTATTGGAAAGAAAGAAATTTGGTTTTCTGGTGACTGAGCTTAAAAAACGAAATATCTTATTCAGATGGGATGCTCCAGTTGGTATAATATTGAGATATCAAGGAGAAAGATACCAATTAAATACTGTTGAAAACGCGGAAGAATTTTATCAAAAATTTTTAAAAAATGAACTCAACATCTTTATGCACAACACAAGATAAGCAGAAGGAGTTGGAAATAAAGGAAAAATATCGAGTTACAGAGGCCTCCGTAGATGAATTGCCTTTGGATTCTTCAGACACCTCAGCTGGATTATCTATAAATAAGAGAGAAGTGGCATCGGATTCTAACGTGATGATTCATTAAGTCACAGACAAGCATGGAAATCAATTAGTTGATACACAACTTATAGAAAAGAAATATGAGTCACAAAAGCAAAACCAACAAGATCAAGTCATAAATCAGAACGAAAACTGATTAGTTGATATACAACTTGTAGAAAGGAAATTAGGATGGAGATCAAACCCACAAAAAGAAAGGAAAAAAAGAAACAGGTCTCACAAAAATAAAAATTTCTAAATTAAGCAACAGTGAAGCCAGTTATTTTTAAAAAAATGACTGAATACATGAAAAGATAGTTGAGGCGAAGTAGTGGTTAATATTATCCTGAGGAGAGTGACAGACCTCTGCAATGCCGTAATTTTGGAATGTGAATAGGGCCTTAAACTGTTGGATTGGAATTATCTATTTTGGTTTTCTTTTCATTGATAAATGTATTATATTTATGCTGAGCTATAAGGCAAGAGAGCTACGCTGGGGCATGCAGAAGATCTGGTTGTTACCCCATTATGACGGTGGGAATTAATAATCCTGAAAAAAGCCACTATTACAGATATTATATGGAATACAATTATAATGTCACTCGGGTGGTTGTTTTCTTTTTTTATATATACGAAGATATTCATTATTGATGGGGGCAGATGATAACTGAGCATTTTGAACATTCTGTTGCAACTGGGATGTTATGTTACCCTAATATGGGTGATGGAGTCAGCAATCCAGTGGAAAGACATCAAAGAAGACATTATATGGATTTTAAGTTTAAAGTCATTGATTTTATCTATATAAGGGAATATTTTTTTAGTAGGGTGGGCAGAAGAATAAAGATATTAAGAATTGTTGTGTATGGTAATTTTGTAGGAAAGTGGGTGGAGACAGGCTAGTTTATTGATTGTTTAGTTTAAAAAAAGGGATGCTTAAGAGATATATTTATGGGAGTGGAGGAAATGGATAGAGTTGAACAAATGTAAAATTAGAATTTATGGGGAAGGCTGCTTTGAAATGTTATATTAATATACACAAAAGATTAAATGTTAAAGTAGGATTTATTATATAGTCTTAAAGTGGAAGGTTGTTTTGAAATGTTATATCAATATACAGACATTAGTATGGGGGAGGAGAAAAAAGGGCAGATTATTGCTAAATTGGGAGTCATAATAATATTACAGTGCTAAATCAGAAGTTATTATACAATGTTATAGTAGAATGTTATTTTGAAGTGTATGGTAAAAGGGGGAAGTAATAATATTAATAATATCATTAGAAAGTAAGGGTCAGTATTTGGAGGAGGGAGTAAGGGGATGGTAAAATATTATATAATCTGTTATGTATTAGGTTTTTATTTTGAAGAAGTCACAGGGGGGATGGGTGGTGAGGGGGGTTAGGGAGGAGGCGGGAGAAAAAAAAGGGGGAAAAATTGTATTTGAAAACTTTTTCAATAAAAAAAAAACATATTCAATTCTGAAGTGGAAATTAAGACTGCATGCCAAGATAAAGAAATTAAAATCAGATGTGAATAATGAAGAAAATGAAAGAATAAAAGTTAAAGAATGTAAGGATGAAGAAAAACATAATAAAAAATGTTGGCTTAACACGAGAACAGTTAAAGAAAGTTTGGAAAGCAATAAATCACAACATAGCTGGGAAAATTTAATGCTTTGAGGCATAAATCATCCATTTTAATCAAAATCAGCTATTTCAATTAAACAAGAGAAATTCTGAAAATGGAAAAACAAAAACTAAATAAAACAATGTTTTGGAAAATAATGAATGGATAAAAGAATTGAAGGAAGAATTTAGTAAAAATCAAATGGAAGAACTAATAATAGCAGAAATTAATACAAATTGAGTGAGAAGAATTAAAAGCAGGACATGCCCTGGAAATTATCAATTGTATGGCTTTTTTTTTTTAATTTGATTTATATGCCGCCCTTCTTCGGAGACTCAGGGTGGCTTACAATGTGCTCAGCAATAGCCTCCATCCTTTTGTATATTTATACAAAAAGTCAGCTTATTGCCCCCACAACTGGGTCCTCAATTTACCTACCTTAGAAAGGATGGAAGGTTGAGTCAACCTTGAGCCTTGGCAAAATTCGAACCTGCAGTAATTGCAGGCAGCTGGTCTTAATAACCAGCTTAATAACAGGGTGCCTTAGACCACTGTACTACCAAGACTCTTTTGACTCAAATATTTGATTTATAGCTAAACAACCTAATAAAGCAATGCGTAAAGGATACATCAATGACTGATTAAAAATTAGCAAAATGTATCTTACTGAAAAAATCCCAGCAAAAGGGACAACTCCAGAAAACTAAAGACTGATAAAATGCTTGCCCACAATATTTAAAATGCTTACAAGCATACACCATGAACTCTACCAATACTTGGGCCTTAGTTGTGGCATGTATACTTGAATTATTAATCAGGCACAAGCTAAATTGAATGGATTGGACCAAAAAACAAAAACATAATCATAATAATGACCATTCCCTATGCATTATGACCCTATAGTGATATTAAACTGATACTTTGCCTACAGAAATAGAGGCAGAAGTTTACTTTAAAACAAATAAACTGTCAAAGAGGAAAAGCATAGCAATGTATCAGTTTTGGAGAGAGCAACATCTAGATTTAGATAATAATGAGCCCAGACTAATGAACCTAAAAGCTTTAATTTTAAAGCACAAAGTCTCTACCAATGCTGAACTGAAAGCAATTAAAAATAAGCAACTTAAATTTCAGGTTTATTCAGAATCACCAGTAATGATACTATTGTCCAGAGTCAAAACAAACATTAGAAACTGAAGAGGCAGTTTATGTTAATGAAGAAACTAAAATTGCTAAAGATTTGTAAGACTATTAGTTAATGAAGAACTAGCTGGGAAAATCAAGAACTGAATGAAGGGAGCTGAAGGAATATTTTGGCCAAAACTGAATTAAAGTAACAGAAAACCTTTGGCTAAAACTTTGAAGAACATTAATTAAGCTGTTAAAATTATTTTAATTGCAGCATTGGCCCAAACAAGCGAATCTATGTAACCATTGAAAAATGTGCCTTAAAATACAACAGAATTAAGCAATTAAGAAAGGAAAATCTAAATGGAAAATGCTGCTGGAATTAAAGATAAATAAAGTTAGCATAGATTTGAGGAATTTGAGGTAAGAAAACTTGAAAAATAACAAAATCAAAATTAGTCTTTCTGTGTGTAGCACAACCTAAAGATTAAAGGAATCGCAAAGGCTGTAGAACAATTGAAATAAAGAGTCATGGCTATTGCAAAGAGGATCAAGATATATTACAATCAAATAATTCAATTACAGCAAATTTGAAATTTAGAACAAATCAGTATCAATTATACAAATCCCTTGAAAATAAGAAAGAACTGACCATGAATAATGAAAACCCTGTCAAAGAAGAGATCTTAAAATTTTGTAGCAGTTTGTGGAGAAAACAATAGAAGTAAAAAAAAAAAGGAATGCAACATGGATTAAGCAAGATAAAAATGCTGTGAAAGTACTTAGTATGGAAGATATTAGAATAACTGTGGACATGGTAAAAAAGGAATCAGAGAAAATAAAAAATTGAAGTCTCCTGCACCAGATGCAATTCATCGATTCTCACTAAAATGATTGACAAATCTATGTTTGAGGTTGGCAAATCAAATAAATAAGGTTTTAAAATGAAACTTTATTTATAATGAAACTCTGAATGAAAAATGGCTAACAACTGGAAGGACATGTCTAATTCAGTTAATCTCTAGGCTCATTTCCCTTCTCCTTCATCTGAATTAGGAATGTCTTTCCAATAAGGTATGAACTACATATTACTGTAATTGCAAATGCAAATTCAAATGTTATTTGAAAATAAATTATTTATCTTCTTTTGAACAAAAAGAGTACTGCAAAAATTTAAGAGGAATGAAGCATCAGTTGTTGATTGACAAATTGATTTTTTAAAAAATCAAAAAAGAACAAACATGTTTATGACTTGGATGGAGTATAAAAAAGCATTTGATTCTGTTTCACATAATTGGAATGTCTTAATATTTTTTGAAACAGAAGAAACATTGGGAAGTTTATGGATACTTCAGTGAAGTTTTGGTGAACAAATATAATGGCTAATGGAGAAGAGTTAGGAAAAGTTGAAATCAAACATGAAATTTTCCAGGGTGAATCATTTTCTGCCTTTACTCTTTATATTATCAATGGCCCTGCTGACAATAATTTTGACCAAGACAAACCATGAATTTGAATTGGCCAAATAAGAATAAAAAATTCATATTTACTCTATATGGATAATTTAAAATCACTTGAAAAAACAAAGGCTGAACTAGCTATCTTCTTAAATTATTAAAAAGCACAAAATAGTTCAGGAAAGATATTGGAATACAATTTATTATTGATAAGTGTCCCACCATAGCCATAAAGATTTTAATATATACCTTTATAGATATATATATTCCCTACTTGAAACTGCCTAAATTCTTAGAGGCTACCTTAATAATTTTTAGGTCCTAGTTTAGGAATTAAATTTCCACCAATTTTAAATTGTGAATCTATCAGCAGATTAGCCACAATAAATGCAACATACATAAATATAGGCATAAGCATAGGAGAAAGGGACAGATAGAAACTTACCTGTGGAATTTTATAAAGACTCACAAGAATTGGAAACTGATGTATGATATCTGAGATCAATTCTTCAATAACCGCATAAAGATTGTCTTGAATTATGCACTTGTAGTTGGGCAAAAGTTTGCTATTTGGAGCAATCAATTGCATTGCTGCATGGTAAGTCCACTTTATATTCAGGTGACTATCATAAATATTAAATCCCAGGGTAACATTGGGTAACATTTGGGCATTTCCATTGATTTCTTTCACAGCAAATATCAAAGCCAACATGTGCTGGTAGTTCTCGGTCACTATACTGCAAAGGAAATGTTCAATCTTGGATCATATGTCATCCTTGAAACTTTTAAAGGAAGCAACATTTGTTTATTGATTAAAACTGCATGTATGTTTATATTGCAAAGAGTATTTCAGTTTCCTGAAATACTTCTTTCATCCCATTCATGGTCCTTCATTATAACAATACTCAAGATCTAAACCATTTTACAGTAATTGCTGAATAGGAATATGGCAGTGAGTTTGGGCAAGAATGGGACACATGTAGCATTCCAGGCTACAGAATGCAGCCTGGCAGATAAGGAAAAGGGAGGAATCATTAAAGCTAATATAGTTTGAAATAACTTTATAAAAAAATGGTATTGGAAATGGAGAATGTATAAGATGAAAATAGTTACAGCAAAATTCATACCTCATTTGATAAAGGAGCCTTCAAATATTGTTATTCAGACTTATTAATGGCATAGAAGAAGGAAAAATTAAAAACAGGAATAAAAATTTAAAGCCAATAATAAGCCTAAATGAACATTAAATAATACTTTCAGCCAGAGTTGGCAACCTGAAATTCTCCTGTTGTTAGCGGACCATGGCTTATGCACCTAATCAAAAGAGTAATTGAAAAAGGATTTGCTCTACAGTGGTTTCTTTTACCATAATGATGTGCTTCCCTAAAACATTTTGGTATGTTAAATCACAGCAATTGCCCCAATAAGCATCTTGTCAAAGAGGATCATAGAGGAGGTGTTCACTTCCATAATGTAGTGAAAAAAAATCCTTATACAAACATTTTTCCTAAAGGTGAGCCCGAAGGATATTGGTTGAATATATAGGGATTCATATAGAATGCAGTTTGATAAATAATGCCTCCATAAATGAAATCTCCTGACTTAAAATACTTGGGAATGTTCTGAGGAACATGATCTCTCTCACATTTAATATATCCAAGCTTGCATCCTACATCAGGTAACAGTAGCAATAGCATTAACAGTATCATTATGGTTGCTAATGTCTTTGCTGCAGACACTTCTCTATTTGTAGTTGTTGAACTGCTAGTATAGTATTCACAATCACAACAGCTGTATTTAGAATGATTGCCCTCTTTGCTGATAGGGTGGAAGAAAAAAATAAATAAGAAAAAAAGTCAAGTTGTGTCTTGTCAAATGGATCTCTTGATGCTGTAGTATTTAGAAATACATTTATGGCATCCTTAGTAGCTGTTGCCCTTCCTTTTGTTATCATCCATAGCAATCCCCAAAGGGAATGAACATTACAGAAGTAATTGTAGGCCTTCCGCTAATTGCAGAGAACATTTTATGTTCTCAATCATATTGTGAACAATTTTTTGAAAGAAAAAGTTGATTGAATTAAACTTTTTTATTTATTTTTAACTAAATGGAAATTTGATTCCTAAATTTCTGCATAAAACTCATTTTGATAACCTATTCGGGCTTTCAAATATTATCTTAAGACAGCATAAACACAACACATGAGCAATATAAATACAAGATGTAGATATACCCAATGTGAATATACCCATTAGCTTCTTATAGAATTTCTGTACTCACATGGCCTTTTCTCATTAATATAACTTCTTTCCCCACCATATCTCTCTGAAAAAACTGACAGATGATCTTTCTATCCAGTTGAAAAAGATTATTTTTGATCCTTATTTCAGATCCACATTAGACAAAGTCACTTCCTTACATTTGTTTTCCGTCCCTTTATTTATTTAATTAAATATAGCTGACAAGCAGGACAGGGCAAGAGCCTGGGAACTGGGCATTAAGACAGTTGGTAAACTGGTTCAGTCATTTTCTTTCATGTATAGGAAGAAGGCAATAGCAAGCTGGTTCAGAAAATTATTGCTAATAAAAACCATGGACTTCAGTTAGGAGTCAAGACTGATCCAAAAACATGTACCTACATACAAATAGAAAGAAAAATGAACAAACAGGTATATAGACATCTATACAAATGTTTCAATAAAGGATAGTCATATTTTATCATAAAATAATATGTAATACATAGTATTACAGTAGTAATACATAGTTTATGTCTGTAAACAACTCACTCATAAGTCACAGGTAATATTAGGCTTTCACTTATTGAATAATGGAGGCCCAAAATTTATTTTTCCACTGTTGGAAAATTGGCAATAGAATTTAGGGGGAGTGATGATATCACTTTGTGGATCAATGTCCCTGATTCTTCTTTTTATTTTATTTTATTTTATTTTATTTTATTTTATTTTATTTTATTTTATTTTATTTTATTTTATTTTATTTTATTTCAAATTTATATACCGCACCTTCTCCCAAGGGACTTAGGGCGGTGTACAGCCAGATAAAAACATACAGTACAAACATTAAGAACAATTAAAAGAATATATATTAATTTGGCCCCAGTTTAAAATGACAAACCATTTAAAAATTTAAAATTTAAAATTTAAAAATATGTTAATTATCTAATTAAGCCCGGCTTGATGAAAAAAGAAAGTTTTAAGGGCACGGCGGAAGGCACCAAGGTCTTGGATTCTCCTTATCTCAGGGGGCAGCTGGTTCCATAGGGTAGGTGTCCCCACAGAGAAGGCCCTGCCCCTGGGGTTCACCAGCCTACATTGTTTGGATGATGGCACCCCGAGGAGGCCCTCTCTGTGGGAGCGCATGGGGCGATGGGAGGTTGTCAGTAGCAGCAGGCAGTCTCGAAGATAACTAGGTCCTATGCCATGGAGCACTTTAAAGGTGGTAACCAACACCTTGAAGCGCACCCAGAAGACCACTGGGAGTCAGTGCAACTTGTGCAGGAGCAGTGTTATGTGGGAGCGCCATGCAGCTCCCATAATTACCCACGCGGCGGCATTCTGGACCAGTTGGAGCCTCCGGGTGCTCTTCAAGGGGAGCCCCATGTAGAGAGCATTGCAGTAGTCCAGGTGAGAGGTGACGAGGGCATGAGTGACTGTGCACATGGAATCCCGATCAAGAAAGGATCACAACTGGTGAATCAGGCGTACCTGGCAAAAGGTCCCCCTGGCTACAGCCGTCAGATGTTTCTCCAAAGACAGCTGTGTATCCAGGAGGACTCCCAGATTGCGTGCCCTCTCCGAGGGGGCCAAAGACTCGCCCCCAATAGTCAATGATGGAGTCAACTGACTATATAGGGATGCCGGGAACCACAGCCAGTCAGTCTTGGAAGGGTTGAGTTTGAGCCTGTTCCTCCCCATCCAGATCTGTACAGCCTCCAGGCACTGAGACATCACTTCAAGGGCATCGTTGGGGTGGCCTGGGGTGGAGATGTACAGCTGGGTATCATCAGCGTACTGGTGGTACTTCACCCCAAAGCCACGGATGATCTCATCCAGTGGCTTCACATAAATGTTGAACAAAAGGGGCGAGAGGACCGACCGCTGAGGCACTCCACATATGAGAGGCCTCGAGATTCGACCTCTGCCCCCCGCCAACACAAACTGCGACCAGTCAGAGAGAAAGGAGGCGAACCACCGTAACACAGTGCCCCCCATCCCCAACTCTTCCAACCGGTGCAGCATATTACCATGGTCGATGGTATCAAAAGCTGCTGAGAGGTCTAACAGGGATAGAACAGAGGAGCAGCCCCTGTCCCGAGTCCTCCAGAGATCATCTACCAACGCGACCAATGCCATTTCCATGCTGTGCCCAGGCCTGAAACCCAACTGGAACGGATCTAGATAAGACGTTTCCTCCAGGAATTGTGGAAACTGTCGCGCAACCACACTCTCAACACTCTCTATTTATTTGGCCTTCTCCAGAATTAATTGGGCCAAATATTTAGGAGAGGCCTAGATTACAGAGTTATCTACATGGGGCTCCCCCTGGGGTGCACCCGGAGGATCCAGCTGGTCCAGAATGCAGCTGCGCGGGGGATTATGGGAGCGACGAGGCGATCCCATGTGACACCTCTCCTGCGCGAGCTGCACTGACTCCCGGTGGTCTTCTGGGTGTGCTTCAAGGTGTTGGTGACCACCTTTAAAGCACTCCATGGCTTAGGGCCGGGGTATTTACGAAACCGCCTTTTGCCACCAATAGCCTCCCACCAGCCAGTATGCTCACACAGAGAGGACCTCCTCAGGGTGCCGTCTGCCAGACAATGTTGGCTGGTCACCCCCAGGGGGAAAGCCTTCTCTGTGGCGGCACCGGCCCTCTGGAACAACCTCCCCCCCAGAGATACGTACAATATCAGACCTCCAGACTTTTCATCGGGCCATGAAAACTTATTTATTTCACCTAGCCGGGCTGGCTTGATCCCACAGTTTTGGTTAAATTTAATTGATTTTAATTGGGTTGTTTTAAATTGCGGCCAAAAATATTTAATTATTTTTAAACTGTTTTTAAATTTTGTATGTTCTGTTATATTCTGGCTGTTCACCGCCCTGAATCCTGCTGGAGAAGGGCGGTATACAAATTAAAACAAACAAACAAACAAATAAACAAATAAATAAATAAATAAATATTATGCAGGTAGAGTGTTGGTGGGATTGGTAATTAACAGGGGTGAAATGCTCCCGGTTCAGACGGGATCGCCCAATCCGGTAGTGATGGCGGCAGGTGGTTCAGAGAACGGTAGCCAAAATCCCTGCACCCCTCCCCCCCCACCATGTCCAGCTGAGCCACATGATCATCAGAGGCTTTTTTTTTTACTTTTAAAAGCATTTTTTCTACAACCTCTTCTGACAAAAAAATGCTTTTAAAAGTTAAAAAAAAAAAAGCTGGAATCGTCAGGCTTTTCAAAGCATTTTTTTTCTGCAATCTCTTCGGCCAAAGAGGTGGTTAAAAAAATGCTTTGAAAAGTCTCTGACGATCCAGCTATGTTGCCTGTTCGTCAGAGAGGCTTTTCAAAGCATTTTTTTTTAAAAGCCTCTCTGATGATCCCAGCTGAGTGCCTGATCGGCAGAAGCTTTTCAAAGCATTTTTTGTAACCTCTTCAGCTGAAGAGGTTGTAAAAAAAAATGCTTTGAAAAGTTTTAAAAAAAAAAGTTGGTCACGCCCACCCAGTCACATTAACCCCACCAAGCCATGCCCACAGTAGTAACAAATTTTACATTTTACCCTTGGTAATTAACTAACTGCAGCAAAGGCATTAGGCCTGTAGACTCAAACATGTTTTTAAGGCCTGAAATTAAGATCCTAGGCCAGCCCTGAGCCTTAATATTTGGCACATTGGCTTCAAGCCTCAGTATTGCATTGCTACTGGGGGAGGAAAGACAGTTTGGGATGCCAAACAAAGTTCTGGGGGGGAAAAAAAAGATGATTTCATAAACCTTTAGGTGACCTGAATTGTATGCAATATAATATTTGGGCAAGTATTTTAGCTGTAAACAATTTAACTGCTGCTGGGATATAATTTGTCCCTTGTTGCTTATGGAATTTAATTATTGCTTGTGTGTTCCTTTGGACAGTGACTTACCTGGGATGTCTATTTTCTTGAGGCCTGAAATTACTACACACAAATGTAACATATCACCTGTTCCAATTCATGAGAATCAATTGTCCATTTTTTACTTTTTACTTTTGTTTAAAAAAACTAGCACTTTAAATTTATCATAATTATTCATTGTTTCTCGTTATAGTAGGATGCCAGGATTCCTAGTGCCCACTTTATTTATTTATTTATTTATTTATTTTTCACATTTGTATACCGCCCTACTCCCGAAGGACTCAGGGCGGTGAACAGCCATAATAAATACAAATACATATAGAAGTTAAAAACTATTAAGAAACAGATTAAGTAATTTAGGCTCAAAGATTAAAAAAAAACATCCAAATTTATTTAAAGAGGTTTAAAACCCAATTTAAAATACAGTTTAAAAGCCAATTAAAAAGGGAGAGTTAGGCCAGACCAGCTTGTTGGAATAGAAATGTTTTCAGGGCTCGGTGGAAAATACGTAAGTCTTGGATGTTTCGTAACTCCGGGGGAAGCCCGTTCCAGATGGTAGGTGCCCCACAGAAAAGGCTCTCCCCCTGGGGGCCGCCAGTCGACATTGTTTGGCCGATGGCACCCTGAGGAGCCCTCTCTATGGGAGCGAACTGGTCGGTGAGAGGCTATTGGTGGCAGGAGGCGGTCTCGTAAGTACCCTGGTCCTGAGCCATGGAGCGCTCTAAAGATAGTAACCAAAACCTTGAAGCGCACCCGGAAGACCACTGGGAGCCAGTGCAGCTCGCGCAGGAGGGGGTTACATGAGAGCGCCACATTGCTCCCATTTATGCCTGCAAAAGATAAGGAAAAGAGAACTGCATGGTCAGCATAAAGTAAAATTGTGAGATTAGCTTAGTTTAGGAGCATGGAAATCCACTCTTGGAAGATTTAATTAGATAATTGATGTATATGCTTAAAAGCCGTAGTGCAGGGATGAATCCTTGTTTCACCAACTTGTCAGTCTGGATGAAGTCATAAAGGCCCATCCCTGATTGCATCTTTATTGTATAGCCTATGAAAAAGGAGCAGGAATCTTTTATCTATTTATAACTTAAATGCTTCAGTTAAGGTTGTTTGATGGAAAAATTGCATTGCAGTATGACAGATACACTTGGAAGTTACATAGTTGTTGTGAATATTGCATCCCAGAGTAATATTGGGTAGCATTCTGAAATTTTCACTAATTTCCTTCACAGTGAAAGTCAGTGCTGATAATTATTCATTGCAACAAAAAAAAGTCTTCATTTTTTTTATTTCAGCATTTGAAATATGTTCTGTTCCCTACTATAATGTCAGCTTGCATATATTATTAATTATAATTTTGTTTCTTGTTCATTAAAATATTGGGAGATGTTGATTAAGAAAGTAATTGTTCTTTTATTTATTTTTTAAAAATAGTATTTATTGAAATTTGTATTTAAATACAAAAAATAAAACACAGAGAGAAAAGAAAAGAAAAAACAGAAAAACAACTTAACAAAATTTTTCCACTAATAACAGCTTTTCTATATTGGTATCTCTATCATAACATACATATTTCTATATATCTTTATCTTAAATTACATCCTTATTTATGTTTACAGTTACTTCCATTCATAGATCAATTTCATATCCTATATTTCTTCAACAATTTTACATATTATATTTAACAAGTTATCTCTTATTTTTTCCATCTCCTCTCAAGCCAGGAATAGCATCTGTTCCAAATTTGATAGTACTTGGTTTGCTCCCTCTCCTTCATTTCCATGGACAATTTGTCCATTTCTGGACAATCACAGTTTTTTATTATTATTATAATTTGGTCTGGAGGAATATCTGGTTGTTTCCAGTTCTGTGCTAGGACAATTCTACTTGCAGTTAGTATGTGTATTATTATATACTATATTTTTTTCTCCATTTTCCCTTCAAGAATACTCAAGAGAAAAAGTTCCGGCTTCATCTCTATTTTCTGTTCTGTTATCCCCTCCAGCCACTTTCTTATCTTACACCAGTATTTTTGGATTTTAGGGAAGGTCCACCATATATGGCAGAACATTCCTTGTTTATGACCACATCTCCAGCATTCTGGGGATCTGTTCAAGAACATCTTGGCCAATCTCACTAGTGGCAGATGCCATCAATAAAACATTTTATAAAGATTCTCCTTGTAAGCAGCTGACATCATTAGTTTGTAGTTTCTCTCCCACAATCTATCCCAGTAATTGTTCTTTTAATATGTTCCAATATGTTGGAAGAACTGATACTACACCCTCTCTGGAAGGGAATGTATTTCAAGCTAAATTCACTGGAATTAATGGCAGGAGGTTCAATGAAAGAATCAAGTAGCCAAAGATTTTCAATGTAGGGTAATAAATTGTTATTTACCTGGTTAATTCCATGATGCCATACTATCTCCTCTTCCTTAATGATAAGTTGTTTGTGTGGAGGTGCCCAGGATCCATCCTTCCAACTTTCAATCCAATGAAAGATTGGTTTGGAAATGTGACCCAATTGATTGTGGGTTGACCCAATATCTCATATGCAACTGTATATACTGTTGTATCTCAGATTGATGTTATTCTCTCTTTCATACTTTCATACTCTTTCATAGATGGTGTGTAAGGCATGAGCCACGGAATAAACAGCATTGTAGATGCTATAGCTTTGGTCTGTGATTCAGAAGTATTAATATTAATTTTGGGTATCCTTGGTGGTCTCCCAGCTTCATTGTCTTCTTGCAAAGATTCTATGTTTCATTATACAATTAGGTAATTCAGATGCCAAGGTCAACCCTGAGCTAGAAATAATCTCTTCTATTAATATTGTTATGAGTTTCAGCATGATATTTAAAAATGTTTAAAAATCACCCCACCTTTTTTTTTCTTAACTTCCTCTTTGACATTCCAGGTGTCAAGGGAGATACAAACGTCTGGTTCTTGCTGTTTTGACAGCCTCAACTATTGCTAATTTATATTGTAGTGTATCTTTCATGTTGTCTCTCAATCTTCTTCTAATTTTTGTTATGTTCTCCTCTTTCTCCCTTGAGAATGGAGACAGCAGCCAGATGTGGGGTTATGCTCATTGGTCAAATGTGGACTGAGCCTGTCAATTAATTATTAAATCCCGCCCCTATTCCTAGGATTCCAGCTTTTTTGCTCAGTCGTCAGACTGGACAGTTGTGTGGAAAGTGTGCTCTATCTGCTTTTCAGCGTTAGAGTGTTATTTCTGCTTAATTTCTTCAGTTCTTTTATCTACTGAACATTTTAATTTAATTCACCTATACTTTAGAAGATTCTTAGGACATCTGAGGACGTTTTCTACTTTCAGCATCAGAAAACATCGTTGAAACTGGTCAGTTAATCATTTCCTTGGAGCATTCCGCTCCCTTAAGGGGGCGGGGGGTTTAATTTTGCCTTTATCAGCTGAAGCTATTTTAAATGTAAAACAAAAAACATAAAAAAAAAAAAAAACAAGAACAAAAAACAAAAAAAAAAACCAATTGTTGAGTCTTGCGCTCACCTTGCCACAGCTAATTTAAGCTGATCATTAAAGTGGAGTTTCGCACTCCCTCATGCTAACCGCTTGTCGGCCACTGAATAAAGTCACAGCTTTACAGATTGTTGCTACAATCTTTACATCAAAGTCGGCTTTGACGCTTTTAAAAACAGCCTCCCTTTGCTGCTGCTGACTTTAACTGATTTCAGCTGTTTAGCGCTGAAATGCGGCTAAAAATTTAGCTGAAAAGAGGAGTCTCATGCTCCCAAGATCATCTAAAAACCTTTTCTAACATAAATTGATTTCAGCTGCTTAGAGCTGAGTTGCGGCTTCAAATCTAGCCGAAAGAGGAGAATCATGCTCCCAATATCAATTTACGCTCCCAAGGGCAATTAAAGCCTCATTTAATAATTATTCTACATAGGTACTTATAGTTACCTTAACGGCTTTTAACTGTTGGAATTTTATCTCTGCCTTACAGTTGAGCCTCGCGCTCACATTGACAGTTGAGCCGGTTGCCATTTGAATACCGGCAATAACTCAAGTTCCATTCCTGAGAGCCTCCAGCCTATCAGGCTGTGCCAGTTGAGTGCTGAAATGCCATTTTGATTACTGGCGCAGCTAGAATTTTACATTTACCTGAGAACATTAAACATATTAGCCTTTATCTATCCTTTCAAACTATTGAAAAATAATAAATATTTTAAATAACTTACATCTTACTGATTATAGATTTGGTCTGATTCTCAATCTATTATTATGCCTAAAGCTATCTCAAAATCCAAACATGGCCGAAAGGCCACAGTAAGAGAGCAATCACAGGCTTCATTTAGGGAGGATCATAATCAGAAACAAAAGGAATGTGTACTTCCTATGCGCACAACCGCAAAACATTCTTTGGTGACTCCCAGTGCTGTCATCAGTCAGGACAAGACTGTTAAAAAGTCATGTAAAAGAAATAATTATACTGACTCTAAGGTTTCTTAGTTCAATCATCTGAAATTTGAGGTTCTAATCCCGTTATGGGTACAACCACTACTGAGGAGTCTAGCGCTCCCACGTTCTCAGTGCTTAATGCACCTACATCCTCTGTTCCTATCCAAACTTCTAATGAAGTGGACCAGGCTCGAGATCAAGTGCAAATCAATTGGCGCACAGAGGACATTTAACATATGATTAATATGGATGATGCTATTTCACTATAGCCATAAACTTTTGCATTTGAGGAGTTATCTCGCTCCCTGATTCTTGCCGCTTGTCGGCAGTTTTAAGAAAGCGCAGAGTTTTTCCCTGCTATTTTAAACTGCCTCACAGCTGATTGAGGCTAATTAACATTTTCGACTACAAGGCTTGACTTTCTCTGGCTATCTCCGTTTATCAGTGCTTTGATTATTTGGCCAAATTAGACTGTTTAAGACAGATCTGCCTTCATTTGAGACTGAGCAGTGCTTCACTTTTTGACAGTTACGCCAGCTCGAGTTCTTAGGTGACTGCTCGGCCGCCATTTTGTTTAAGGGCAAGGGCACAGTTTTTTTCTATCAAGCCTCCAATCCTTAGTTCTGTACTGGCTATAAGCATATTCTGTCCTTATAAACTAAGACTGCCACATCTGGCTACTGGAAATGGTGTTGGAGATATAATTTACATCTATAACATGTTTATATTAATTTAAACTACTTTTAAATTTACATTGACCTATTACAGGGCTGATAAAATTTTAGGGGGTCCTTTCAACCCGATTGATTAATTAAGGCCAGTCATGCCTAAGGCTCTGGCCAAGTCAAAATTAGTGCCACAGTGCGAGAGCAGTCAGTGGATTCTAAAATGGAAGCTTCCAAGCATACACAAGGGGAAGGAGTAGCAATTAAACCTTGTTCTGAGGCTCTTCCTAAGCGCAAGGAGAAACTACTAAGAAAAACTATTGGCAAAGACAAAGGCACTGGCTCTGCCCCATTGGCTATTACGGTTGGGTCTCCAGGAGAATGTAGACATGCCTCCTCTCTGACCCAGGATCACATGTCAATACAAGATTTCCCACTATTAGTTGAGCCATCTGATTTATGGGGATCTCCTCCTCCTGTTCGAAGTAACAATAATGTGGAGTCTAGCACTCCCACTCTTATGGTGGTACAGTTTGTGGATAGCTAGCTCTGACAGTTTTCAGAGTTAGACTGTTTTTCTTTCATACCTGATTGTTTGGATTTGACCTTGGATGTCGTACTTGGCTATTCTTTTGTTTGCTGGACATCCTTTCATCGAACTGGTAAGTTTCTGTATGTTGGTGGAGCTTTCCGCTCCCATGGGTGGCTAAAAATCACCGGCTTTGCCAGGGGAGCCCTGCATTTTAAACAGCGACTTCTCTTTGCGGAGTCTTGCACTCCCCACGGTCTTTGGGCAGCCATTTTTGTCACTGCCAGCCGCATAACTGTTAGTGGAGTTTTTCGCACTCCCTGTCTCTCGCCGCTTGTCAGCCTTTCACTCAGGCACAGCTTTTCTCCAGCAGACTCAATAGAGCCGCTTCTCAGCTGTTTGAGACTAGCTGCCAGGTTCTGAGTGGAGTCTTTGCACTCCCTGACTATCACTGCTTGTCGGTTCTTTTCCTCTAGGTTCTGATTCTCTCCTGCGGAAATGAACAAAGCTCTGCCCGCTGTCACTATTAACCGCTTCTCAGCTGATTGACCTTGCCGCCGGCTTCAAAGTGGAGTTTTCGTGCTCCCTGTGGTTTGCCACTTGTGGTCACATCACAAGGGCTTGGTGATATGTAAAATCACCCTAATTTATACCTGCTTGACTCTTTGACTTCTCTTACCAGTCCGCATCTCAGCTGTTTGACGTTGCTGTTCTGATCAGTAATGGAGCTTTGTGATCCCTGAGTTGGCAGTTCTGGCCGCCATTATGTTTAGGGGCGAGGCGACACGTTGAGCTTCTCTCAGGCCTCCAGTCTTTCTGGCTGTGCCTGCTACCCTGGCCTAACCTTGCCTTCAGCCCTTTTGGCAGACATTGCTTCACCTTACAGGCTTGGGGTTAATTGCCTTCTCTTTCTCTGTTGCTGCCTCGCATATTTATCTCAGAATGCATCTAGAATTTGACATTCCCCTGATACAGGACTGCCTTGCTTAACATGGAGTCCATTTTCCACTTCTTGGGTGTTATATGGCCTATCATGCCTAAGGCTCTGGACAAGTCAAAACATGGCCACCAGGCCACAGTAAGGGAACAGTCAGTTGCTTCCAAGCGTAAGATGCCAAGCATGTGCAAGGGGATGGAGTATCCATTAAACCTCAGGCTAAGTTTTCTGCTAGCGCAAGGGAAAGCTTCTATGGAAGCCTGTAGTCAAGGCCAAGGACAGTGGTCCTACATCATCTACAACAGCCAGGGTTTCTCCAGGGGAACATAGACGTGACCTCTCTCCGACCCCAGATCAGATGTTGCTGCAAGACTTCCTGGTGTCAGTTGAGTCAGCTGACTTATTGGGATCTCCCCCGCCTGTGGGATATCAATGCTGTGGAGCAGGGCCGGATTTAGATGAAAAGAGGCCCTAGGCTATTCCACTTATGAGGCCCTTTCACCTATAATGAAAGTGTAATTTTAATTTTGCTAACAATTTGAATGTAGGCCCCTCTTGATCTTGAGGCCCTAGGCTGAAGCCTAGTTAGCCTATAGGAAAATCCGGCCCTGCTGTGGAGTATAGCACTCCAGCTGGGTTGGTGGTTCATTCACCTGTATCTTCTGCTCTGGTTCAAGCCTCTACAGAGGCCGGCCCAGCCTGAGACCATGATTCTACCCCTTTACGTCCAGAGGACATTCAATGTATGATTGCAGCAATGGGGCAACGATCCCTGTCAACTCATACTTTCTCTACTGCCAGACCGATTACAGTGTATTCGGTCCATTCGGACTATTCGGCTTCGCTGGAAAGAGTCGATTTGGAAGATGCCCTCTCGCTTGCGGGCTCAGATTCTCCATCCGTCTCCTATGTCAGTAGACACTCTGTATCGGAAGAGATGGAGCCTCAGGAACCAGAGTTGTCGGAGGTTGAGGGCTTACCTCCGGATCAACCTGCATTCACGAGCCTATTTCCCCAGGCTCTGTTTAAGTCTCTTCTGTTTAACTCCTCAGCAGGACATTTCAGATCTCCAATTTACCATTCAGACACTGGCCTCACACAGCTTCTCTGTTAACATAGAGAAAGCCATCTAAAACTCTCACTAGAATTCTTCATTTGGGAACTATGATTCTAGAATTATGGTTCCTAGATGACTAGAATTCTTCATTTAGGAACTATATTTGATTTAGTTGAAGGTAAGTTTTTCCTCTACCCGGATCGTAACCCGGGTTGAGATCTCTTGTGGCCAGGGTCATAAAAGATAGAACGTTCAATGTTGCAGAAGCTGTGGATGCTCTAAGCTTCCCTTGGCCACAAGGTCTGTTGTACGCCTTTCCACCAATTCCTCTAATTCCGAGGGTAATTCGGAAACTAATACTGGAAAGGGCGGAAATCATTCTAATAGCGCCACATTGGCCAAGAAGGTCATGGTTTGCAGACCTCATGAATTTATCAGTGACTCTTCCTTGGAGGATACCATGTATCACAAATTGCCTCAGCCAGGGCATAATCACACATCCGGAACCACAATGGCTACAGATGACCGCATGGCGTTGAGCGGGATGCTCTCCAGTGAAATCACATTCCATCTCCAATAATTAGAACCATGCAGGCATCTAGGCGGTCATCAACACAACAAATTTATTCAGCAACTTGGCGCACATTTACATCTTGGTGTGAGACCCAAGGTTTTTCTGCTCTTCAAGCTTCTGTTTTGCAGGTTCTGATGTTTTTACAGGCTGGTTTAGAAAAAGGATTTTCTCCCAACACTCTCAAGAGACAGGTGGCTGCTATCTCATCTATCCTGACATATAATTCCAATAATTCATTGTCACAAGATCCCATGATTAGTCTTTTTCTCAGAGGAGCAGCTAACCTTTTCCACCAGTAATACATCGATACCCTTCTTGGGAACTTTCAATTGTGTTGGATTCACTTATGGGTTCGCCATATGAACCAATAGACTCTACCAGTTTACGTCTATTGTCAGAAAAAGTTGTTTTTCTAGTCGCGATTACTTCGGCGCGACGTATTTCAGAACTTGCAGCATTGTCGGTCCGAGATGATTTATGTGTATTCCATGTAGATAGAGTGGTCCTCAGATTGGATCCTACTTTTATACCTAAAATTAACTCTTCTTTTCATCGTTTGCAGGAAATTGTTTTACCAGATTTTTATTCCTCACCTTCCAATCCATTGGAAAACAGATTACACATGTTGGATGTCAGACGGGCACTGAAGTTATACATCCAGAGGACGGCTGATATTCGTAGGACAGAGTCAATGTTCATTTCCTATCTTCCGGCTTCATTAGGAAATAAGGTATCTTCTTCGACGTTAGGTCGATGGATCCGAACAACGATTAAGATGGCATATGAACTGCGATCTTTGCCTCCTCCTACCAAGGTGACAGCTCATTCCACCAGAAGTGCTGCAACTACAGCTGCTTAGGCTTCCAAGGCTTCATTGTCTGAAATATGCAGAGCAGCTACTTGGACCTCTCCTTCTCCATTTGTTAAACACTATAAATTAGATAAATTTGCCACTGCAGAGGCTGATTTTGGGAGAAGAGTATTACAAGGTGTTGAGGTCAGGGAGGAGTTTTTCGGCCCAGACTGTTCTCTCCCATGTGTTGGGACAGTGAACTTGGTATGTCCCACATCTGGCTGCTGTCTCCACTCTCAAGGGAGAAGGGGACGTTGGCAATGCCTGATACGCCCCTTCTCGTTGAGTGGAGATAGCAGCCAGTCCCACCCAGTATCAGTCTGGGCACTAAGAGTAAAATTTATCTAACAGTTTGTTTATTTTTTTTCTACTTTCCACACTCAGAGTCTGTCTTCCTCCTTCACCAAAGCTGGAATCCCTAGGAATAGGGGCGGGATTTAATAATTAATTGACAGGCTCAGTCCACATTTGACCAATGAGCATAACCCACATCTGGCTGCTGTCTCCACTCAACGAGAAGGGGCGTATCAGGAATTGCCAACGTCCCCTTCTCGATATGCATTTTTGTATACACCCTCCTCATTTTATATATGTCTTTGTATTTGCCTTGAAAACAATCTTTGAAACAGAATTGTGTACAAAAGATTAAACTTGTCAGTAAAATATATAAACTTTTCTTAAAATTGAAAAACCGAAGACATACTTAAACCGAAGACATAATTAAAAGTTGTGTGATAAGCTGGGGGAAAAAAATCAATAGAAAGAAACAGATTGAAATTTACCTTATACTACAATCTCAAAGAAAATGTTTATAAAATGATGGATAAAGTCCTATGAATGTTAGTTAGAAATGAAAGACTCACATGAGCTTTTTACTGCCTTTGGTAGACAATAGAGCTAATAATATTGAAGGGAAAATAGTAACATAATTAAAAAAAAAATTGAAAATCGATA